TGCAGCTAACGTTAATTACAATACAATACAATTCAATGCAATGCAATACAATACAGTACTTTTCAAATGTATTTATATCTTTGTAAAGAATATAAACTAAACATTGTTAAGAATTAGTTCGTATTTTTTTTTAATAAAAAATGAGAAGATACTTGAATTTTACGCAACAATATAAAACCTATTTTGAACAAACTTGAAAGGCAGTATCAAATGAATATTCAAACTAAAATTTCCTGTAGTATATTATTACATCGCTTCATTTTAAGTAATGTTACAGTGGAAAAATTTTACACATGATATATTTAAAAATGAAATAGAAGCCATTTTTTTCAAAATGCTGATACTCCTACAATTTTTTTTCGATTGCCATGAAACTTGGAACACCGCAATACTACAAGAAGATTGACAATGATGTTAATCGGTTCTTAATGAAAAAAGTTTCATATGGTTACTTAAAATATGATTACCTGTATATTTTTTTTTTAAATTTCGATGAACTTTGTTGACATGGTTACTTAAAATAGATTTTTTGAAATTCTTTAAAAATGCTACTCCTTCGAATGTTTGGGTTTGATTTCAGTAAAAGTTGGTAATTGTGTAGAAATCATCAGAATATATAGATATGTGCATTCAAAACTTTTAAAGTGCTTCAGTTTGGAATTATCTCTTCTAATTTTAAAAAATGAAGGTGTAGAGCTACAGTCTTATCATATTTTTCTGGTTACAAATTTATTACAATTTATGTTACAAATTTATTTCAATTTATTTCCCTCCTGGTGGCCTTTTTTCTATTCATAATGAAAATTGACATACATGTAATTTGTTATTTTTTCTTAAATGCCCTGTCACCCTATTATATTGTTGACGTGAAGACGGTTTACATACATAGAAGACTTCCTTTAAAATTGAAATACCAGAATATTAAGTTTTACGCGCTTTTCCGTCCGGTTTAAATCAAAGGAGGAAGGTTTCTCGAAATAAAAAATGTAATCTCAGAGATTCCATTCAATATTTAGTTCTCAATATCTCCTCGTCTTTACAAGATTCTTTGATCCGCCTATATTTTAACTTTTCTTCCTTATGGTGGTTAAAGACAAATATGATACTTCCCTGTCATCTAAATGAAAATCTGGACTGGGAGCAGGAAAAAAACACGACATGAAGGTGTGTAAATCCTTGATTTTATTTGTATTATTCAAAATAATTTGTGTTATCTGGAATTTTTTTAAGGGTGGCTAAAAGTTACAGTATTTCAAAAGCATCTTTTTTGCTATCTCTATTAATGTGTACAATTACAAACTTATTTCCTAAAATATCGACTAAAAAGCAAGAAAAGAATACTACCGGTAGGTGTTTTAATTTTAATCAAAATTTGAATAACGAATAAAATTGGTTTTGAAGTCTGATTCAGCAACAGCATAGCTGTCCAATTATAACTTTTTATACTCTTTCCCCAATTATTTACTAATATTTCAATATGATCCAGAAACAAATTGTAATAATATTTTTATGTTAAGTAAAAGATATGTCAAAGACAGATCATTTGACATTTTAAGCGACAGGGAATTTGTTGATGAGGTTTTTTAAGGCACAAGTCATCTCTTTCAGAATTAATCAAAGCAGCCTCTCCTTCGTCAAATGAAGTAGTAAAAACGTAAAGTAAACAGAATACCTTTTAAATATAGACATTTATATCAATATTTATTGGTTTTAGGGGATACACAAATGATTCTGAGCGTTGCTGGAAAGCGTTTTTTTATGTAAATGTTTATCGTTAAGTAGACTAGAAAATGCTTAGATTGATTGATTGTATGTTGTTCGAGATTTTCTCACTCATATAGAGACGCCATTGAGCAGTGAGGGATCTTTACCGTGCCAACGCCTACTGTGACACGGGGCCTCGCTTTTTAAGGTCTCATCCGAAGGACCCGCAACTTTCACTTCGAAGTTCCGAGCGCTTGGCGAAGGAACACTTTCTACCTATTTTTAATATATTCGATCAGTGCATACTATCTATTCAAGATATATTACTAAAGCCAGGTGCTCTTCACACATTTGCTCGGATAAAATATAGTCCATTCATGATCAGCAGATACAACATTACAACAAATGTTTAGAATATCGATGTGTATGTTATACATGGAAGAAAACAAAATTAACGTAAAATGATTTTAAGAAAATCATTTTATCCCTAGAAATGTAGATAAGAAGTATTCATATTCTCAGCCTTTTCCCCGAAAATATGTAGGTCATTCTTCGATTGACAATCTTTTCACCAATTACATTACTTTCATGATTATTCTTCGTTAATTATTATACAATTTCTTATGATAGATAATGTTAATCATTAAGTGTGTGTGTGTGTGTGGTTTTTGTTTCTTTTTTTAACTGTTTACTGACGGAGTGGTTATATAACAGCTGCAATCGCAACTTCTCGGGACTTCCCGACTAGCGGAAAAACAACGAATTTAGATGCCATTGACTTTCTGATCGCACGTGTTGCAGATTTTATTTGACAAAATGAAATATGTCAGAACGGACACTAGGCTATTTGGTCTTGCAATCACAGGTGTGTTCATTGTTTGCTAGTGACGCAAGACTGTTGACAGTATTTGCTACGGATTGAAGAACTAGTTTCATAACAAGTACAATTTTTTCTTATGGGGATCAGCTGAGCACAGTGGAAATTTGAGTAATTTAAAAGCCGAATACCTTGAATATGGGGTAACCCATATCTATTCTTGTTTATCGACTTAGGTCAGTCGCGGCCGTGATTCGAACACACGACCTTCCGATCACGGAGCGAGCGCTCTAACGACTGAACTACCGTGACGGTCAGGTACTTAGACAAACTCCTCTATGGCACCTGATCCCATCTCTGATGTTCTTAGAGGTCCGTGTGTGCTCTACTCCCAGTCTGTATTGTTCCAATGGACTTTTGAGCTTGATGAGCTTGTCTTCAAATTCATAAACAAAGTGGGATTAGTTCCCAAGATTGGTATGTTGTTAAAACAAATGAAATGTAAACAACTTCAGTGAAGTTATACAGGAAAAATACTGGCTTTGTTCACTCATAATACAGTGTGTATTATGTATAGAAAACTGAGTATGTATGCTCATTGTTTGATTAATAAACAAAAAAGACTTATGGGCAATGTATTCACAATATTTTGCAGGATTTTGTTTATACGCAATAAATTCATAAAGAATTCAAAATATCTTCCTGTTAATTGTATTTCATATTAAAAAGTCAGTTTTGTGAACAAGTAACTATCCATTTTGTATAAAGTTTTCTTTGTTTACTTTCATTCCTTTAGTTTATTACAAAATCACGACAAGGCTTCCTGTTTCTAAGGTTATTACAAAAGCAAGCAATACAATCGTAAGAATTATACAAAAATAAAGGGGAAAATGTTATTAGCATTGCTTAAGGAGGAATACCACACCAGAATTTTATTTAATAGATTAAGACGTCCCTTTTAAACTATGGTTTCAGCATTGAAGGCCGATATTAGCTCTTAATCATTTTATAAGATTTTGTTCCCAATTTTTCATAGGAAATGAAAAAAAAAGTTTTATTTGCAAATAAGATGCTTAGAGTTAAAAATTTGCTGTTAATAAATGTGTTGTTAACATATCCTGAATTGTAAAAACAATTTCTCAGAAAAAGACGACACTCTTGATGATTCCAATTCATTTTATGATTTGCCTGAAGTCAAAAGAATACTCATTCTTTGGTGAAAGTGGATTCTTTTCAAAGCCTCTTAGATTTTCTTGTTTTAGATTCAAATAATTTGTTACTTGTTACTTGGTACCATAACGCTTGATTTATATTTCATTTTTTGGAATTTAATTAACGGTATTTAATTTTTCCCCTTTTCCCTCCCCCTTTCATTTTTCCATTTTATTGTTCATACCCTTTGTTTTCAATTTTGTACTCTGTAATCTACTTAAAAATTAGTTTAAAATACATGTCCTTGTACAACTACAAATATATATCATTGTTACATTTGTACCTTGATCTCTAATTGAGAGAACCAATATAGGCAATTTTTCCCTGCTGTTCAATCCATGTTCATTGTATATACTTCTATGTATATCATAAATAAAATAATTCTTAAATTAATTATTTAATATTTTTGCGTCGAATTTCAATAAAGATTCGGCGAGAATTGCAACAATAAGCATGATTTGATAAAAAAAAAAAAGAAAAGAAAAGAAAATTGTGATAAATATGGGTATTATGTTTATAGGATATTTTTGGGGTATCTTTTGCGCATACAGATGCAGCCGACATGAATTCACAGCAAAAATAATACCATTTAGGTAAATCTCAAAATAGCTGGTTAACTGAGGCATCAGAGATGTCTGCTTGCTTTGATGTGGTGTGTGAAAAATTAAATTAGGATCTTGAAGTAAGCATTTTTTTTTACCAGAAATTCCAGAAATATTAAACTAAATGCTAACTTTTGATGACCTTATCCTTTGTACGATAAAAATTCCCCTCGATAACAAACTGATTACATTATACATGATGTAAAGCTTTTAAATACTACATGAACGTTACATGACAACATGTACATATTTTGTGTACAAGTATATTTTATTAAATTATTCGGATTTTGGGGGTATATTTTATTGAAATATCCGGAATTTTGTGATTAAATATTTTAGGTACATTTTAGAAAATTATCCAATTTTTGTGATTACATAAATTATTTTTGGTATAATTTATTGAATTATCCGGAATTTTGGGACATTTTTAGATGAATTATCCGGGATTTTTTTGCGATTACATATTTTGATATTTTTTATTGAATTATCCGGATTGGGAGGGGGGGTGTATATTTCATTAAATCATTTGGATTTTTGTGGTTTATTTTAGTGAATTTTCCAGATTATTGTGATTGATTATTTTGAGTGTATTTTAAAACATTATCCGGATTTTTGTGATATCATATTTTGGTTATATTTTATTGAATTATCCGGATAGGGCTGCCGAACTGGACTGCCATCAACCCATTGATTGATCGGAATATGTTGTATAATATGATAACACTGACATGGAGAAACAAATTGAAAATATGTGCCGGGTCTTCCTACTTGTACTTGCCATTCTTGGCATTCAAGGTAATTCTTTCCCTATAATCCAGAAAGATTTTACTTATCATTTTCTTATTACTTTTATAGGTGACAATTACTGAAACCATGTTGTTACACTATTATTATATATAAGAAAAGGAAAGTTTGAGGAACATAAAATTGAAATAAAAAAGATTTGTCATCAAGGAAAAAAATTGAAAAACTTAATTCCAAAGACGGATTTTGAAGCAAAGCGAACATTTTAGTATGTGCTATATAAGTGTTTTAGTTTTATTCTAATGAACTTCATTCATTGATATTTTTGTGGCGTGAATAGTTAAGTATCCCATCCAAACGTTCTCTAACCCGTTGATTCGAACTTCAGACATAAAACTTAATTGAATTGATGGTTCCTATGATAGGTAAACTGTAAGTTCCTCCCAAAGAATTTGAATCACTGGATTTAAATATTGCATTCTTAAAATGTTAGGGTTAATTACATGAAAATAAACCTTCAACAAAACTTTCTACTTATTATTATTCCCCGTTTTTGATAAGTTTTAATTTTCCTATACGGTATATAAAAATATTTTATATTAGATAAAGGGCAATTTCTCAAACTTAACAAAAACAGAAAATTATATCAATATCGAAATACAGATATGATATTTTAAAAATTCGAGTATTTTTAGTACAGATATATGTTAAAATTCATATATTTTTAATGAGTTATCTTGTCTCATAAAAATTCTCAGGAAGGTGGGGGGGGGGGTCCACCATGCATATCCTGGCCTATCCTGGTTCAATCAATGAATAATTTTTCATCCCAAATTAACTCTTCCTAATCAAGTTCAAGTAGTGTTTTGATATGATGGTAAATTTTAAGTCTGCAAAATTTTAGCATCGTATAAATTACTGCCACTTTGGAAAAGGATACATCATTGTTCATGATTTTCCGTTGTTTACCGTCAATAACGTAATATCACAAGAAGGTGTTCAAAATTTTAAAAAATGAGCTTTGGAAATAACATCACCTCTCTCGTATGCTAAGAAAGCAATGGTAGAAATTAACTTTCTAAATTAATGTAAATTTCCGTAATCTTTGTTAAAAAAAAAAAAAGTGCCATACTTGTTTGTTTCAAGTAATATGTATCCTATCTGACTAAAAATGGTTTGGAAATGACAACCTTTGTATTATAATATCATACAGTATCTTGCTCTCTTCAACCGCATTTATTACTCATTCATTTGATCCACAACATTTATTTCATTTTCTTTTCAAATATTATTTGTTTAAATTTTCAATTCTCATTTTTGGCAGAATTTCAAGTCTTATTTCATCTTAAAGCAGAAGACGAAAAGGGTGAGTTTAAATAATGTCTCGTTCCTTTTAAACATAATTATCATTTTTGGAATTTAAATCAGTTACTATAGATTATGAAAGGTACATATAGGCATGCAGTGGTGTAGGTGGTGCATATTAAATTTCAATGTATTACTTATATTATAATAATAGAATTATTATTATAACATCCACTATTTTAAAAGGATTTTAATGCCGCCCATTTAAAAAAAAAAGAAATTGAAAGTCGTAAAAAAGTATTTCTATATTTACGCTTCTGTCATTTATCACATGAAATTAGGAGGCAAGAAATTGGTTAATTGTAAATAAATATATTGACTGACAGACAGACGACAGATGAAGAACATGCGTAACACTAAATACACACGCTAATTCTGGTTTTCAATCAAATGAAAGAAGCTATAAATTCTAATGAATTTTCACAGAGGAACAGGGGAGGGAAATCTGCGATGCGTCACCACCGGAATTGTCTTGTAATTCTGAATACAAATACAGGTCTGCGGACGGATCTTGTAATAATTTAAATCATCCAGACTGGGGAAGAAGCTACACAGCGCAAAGGCGATTTCTCACACCGAAATATGACAGTGGTAACCTTCGGTTTTATGTGTAAAACAATCAGTAGTTCACATAAATTTTCTAATGTTCAATGAAATCTTTAACTGTTGCTTCAATTATTTAATTCATTTGAAAGATTGTAACTCGCCTCGACAAAAAGGATACAGGAAGATGCCACTACCTAGTTCTCGTGAAATCAGCAACCTGCTATTCCAAAACAGAAATTCAACAACCGATACGGATCCAAAGCTTAACGTTCTTCATATGTCGTTTGGCCAGTTTCTTGATCACGACCTGATACTGACACCCCTCATCAGAGGTAACCCTCCCTCCCTCCTCTCTCTCTCTCTCTCTCTCTCTCTCTCTCTCTCTCATTGACACACTTAATTTGAGGTAGCTCGCTCGCTCTCTCTCTCTCTCTCGCTCTCTCTCTCTAATCAGCCATTGGTTAAATCAATAGTGTATAAGTTTTATTTTTCAGGAACTTTTGCCTGCTGTGGAGAAGACAGAGATAGCGACCCGTGTATACCCATCACTATTCCTCTAGGGGATCCATTCTTTAAAGAAGACTGCATGCCTCTTACACGATCGGCTTCACTTTTCCAACAACGTGAACACAAGTGTACGTACAAAACTGCAATAGAAAAATATATTTTTCCCTGTAAATATCAAAATGGTTTACAAACGAAGGTAATCAAAGACTACAGAGCTCAGCTGGACGAATAGATGTATTCTAGAAGTGTTCATCCCTAGATACATCATTACAGAAATTTGGTCACCATTCTGCTGATCACTCATCTGCAAAAAGTAGGTCAGATCCAGCTTTTGAAGCAAGTCGGGTAGTGTGCATTAGTAGATGCATCATAAATGCAAGTTTGAATACCATAGGGCTTGAAGCTACTTAGGAATGGACCTGGTAGATAAACGTTTACCTGTTCACTTTTCCGAAAATTGTTTGTGAGATCCGGCATCCGAAGAAAGAATGGTAGTGTGCATCATCATACCTAAATGCATCATCCTGGCAAGTTCAATCACTATGGGGCTTATAGTTACTCGAGAATGAGACCTGCTCCAAAACTAAAGGCCTGCTCCAACACATTAATCTGACCATTCTAATGGAAATTATTGACTAACAAAGCAGTATCAGAATTTTGGCTGGTACAATGAAACGTACTATATGAATCATCAATGTAACTCTGAAGACAAAGAGTTACTTAAAGACTAGGTTTTTTGATATATATAGAGAACTGCTTCTTCAATAATGGAAATCGGAAATTTTCATACTTTGTGATTGGTCATCTATGAAATTACTTCCTTCCTTAAAATCATTCTGAATCTACACACAAGTAGTGTGAGATTTGATATTAAGAGGATGCTGGAGTTCCTCCTTGACAATATCTATGCAGTCTGGAGACCAGGCCCGGGGATCATGAAGCATCTTAAGCTTAAGTCAAAATCCTCATGTTGTACTAAAATATTGGTGTAGTCAAGCAAACCGAAACTGAAATAATTTTCAATATTACAGTTACTTTGATTAATATATTGACAAGATATATCCAAGTGAAATCTAAATGAAAGACACGACAAAGTCTGCCACATGGTTTCATAATTGGATATTTTTCTGACTGTAGACGGTGTACGACGAGACGATTTCACTTTTCCATGGTCAACTTGTCCTTATTATTCCACTATCGCCTGCGTCTCACATTCGATATGAAAGAGCATGCTCTGAGTACGATCAAATTTTAAATCGAGGCAAGCTACTGACAAATAAGCTGTTATTACCGGATTTTAACAACCTCGTTTAAAGTCAGCATTTCGAAAATTCTACGTCGTTATAACGACATTGTTTGCCAATACAATCTATCATTGGATCATATTTGGACTGACATGTTTAATGCAAGTTGTCAGGCTAGTATTTTTTACTTAATTTGACTACGGACGGATTATTTCGTCTACCTGATCAATACATAGGGCTCATGACGGGTTTGGCCGGTCATCAGGGGATGCTTACTCTTCCAATACAGCTGATCCCATCTCTGAAATTTCCAGGGGTCTGTGTTTTGTGCCCTGTTTACCAATATTATTTAAAAGATTTTTTAGATCGATAACTGTTCGTTATCTTCACTTTTTTCATTAGAAATAAATTTTCTCCAAAACTTGAACCTGGAACACTGATGTCGATGGTATAGCTTAAGTCCCCCCCCCCCCCGACTTCGAGATTAGCTAAAGAAGAAACATATATATTTTACTTATATGCAGTTAATCTATCGTACCTGAAGATGAGGAAAGACATACTTCTGTTAGCTTTTAAATCAAGCTGGGGAAAAAATTGTTAATGATAACATACAAAGCATTTGCTTGGTATTAAGAGAAAAAGCACCTTTTCATAGTATAATTTCAATTGTTCCTATTTTTCAAATATTTGAAATCGAATACTGCTTTTTTTTACACCAAAGATTTTTAAAATGAATACTAACTGGATTTTTTTATGTCTAAACATCTTTTTTCTATCTATGAGAAATGAATGATTAAGCTAACTTTTAAAGAAATGCTTACCATGTGTACAGATGAGTTCATTCAGTAATCTTGTAGGTTGTCGAGAGCAGATCAATGACGTCACTTCCTATATTGATGCATCAAATGTATACGGTTCTGATATGAATAAAGCAAATAGGCTTAGAACTTTTCAGAATGGTAAGTTTTTCTCTCTAAATTGCTTCCTCTTTTCATATTAACACATTAGTATGACATCACAATTTGTTCTTTTAATACTTTCTAGTTATTGAAAGGCTCAAGATATTCGTCCAATAATTTATGAAATATGTCCATTATGAATAATAAGGGACAGTATTAATAACTTATTGGGCATCTTAAGATAAGTTATTGAATTGAAACAAATACAACACAGAAACTTGCAATTGATGTCAGAACTCAAATTTGAATGAAATATTTTTAAAATTCTATTTGAATCTCACTTGAACCAACCAAACACTTGGGTACATCACTTACCCTGTTTATCCCCCCCCCCCCGGTCAAGAAGCCGTAGCTCCTTCTTTCTTCCTCTGAATCATTTTGCTCACTTTCTTCCAGAGAACATCGTTTGTTCTTTTATAGGAACGCACGGATGTTTGGTACACTGTCTTGCTCCACTTTGTTTCTGAATATAGCTATAAAAAAAAAGCTTATATTTTTATTGATTTCTTTATCACTCATCATCATGATATCCTTAAGCATGACAACATCAATCAATCATTGTGTAGGGTTTTACGTACTCTCTGCCAGTTATCACCCATTTAGATGTCAGCTGTGTTTTCTTCGACAAGTCTTGATTCAATTATGGAAAACTTTCTACGTTCACCTTATTTTCTCCATCCTGATTTGTCGGGACCAAAGGTTTAAAATATCCGGAAAAAATTCACTTTTGGGTCAAAGTTCATTAGGTTTATGTTTTGCGTCAAAAAATTCGTTTCCCCTCAGACGAAGACATGCCTTCAATGAAAATGGCATTCGAGTCTCACGTCTTGTGTTTCATATTCTTTATACAGTTAGAAATAGCACTTACCTTTAACGTCCACTTAGTTAATTATTGCAGTGAATGCTACCGGTATTTTATTTTTATTAAATTGTAAATAATCCCTTTATCTGAAACACTCTAGTGAATAGACAATATCTTGCTTGAACAATGGACCTTTAATAAAGAAGAAAGTACTTTATGAACACAGAAGAGTACATGTTTTATGTAGGTTATCGGTTATAGTCCTCAAACTGTCCATTCTGTGAGAAAAAACTTTTTTCCGAAGGACCGATACGCACCATAAAGCTTGGCTTACAAGTCATGAAACTTAAGTTCTAGTCTAACCGTGTGTACACCCTTAATACACCCTTACAAGTCTGACTTGGGAATAGAGCACTGCTCTATTTCTAAATACAATCTGAATACAAGGCCAAGCCGACTTTTTCTTGTTAGCCCATGAAAATTAGTCATCCGAGTGTCAGCCTATTTTATACGTACATGTGGGTAGATTGGCGAATTCGAAAGTGGTAATGACTGTCTATACAAACTTAGTTGTAGAGAAAGTCGTTAGTTTTGGGGTGGAAGAGGAAAGAATCTGTTTTAGTTTCCTTTTCTTAGTTTCTTTTTCTTTCCACTTTGAGAACTCAATAATAAAAACACGTGGAATTTATGGTAATGTTGGTTATAATCTTGTAAGGCTCGCCTTATTAGGTGTACACAGCCTTTCAGAAATTTAAGTTTTAAGACTTGAAGGCAAGTCATGCCGTGTGCATCGGACCAAACGGCCCTCCAATAGTTCTTTCTTCTCACAGAATGGACAGTTTTAGGTCTATAATCTTTTCTAAAGGTCACTCTTTTTACCTCCAAGAATCCATTGTCGTCTACCCCAGTTTCTGACTTTTGAGAACTACTTTGCTTGTCTTCAACCCTATCATACAATACTGAATATAAATACATAGTTTTTTAATGAGAGTAAAAAAACAATGTCGTGTGATATTTCTGGATACTAGTAATATATTCTGGATTATACTGATAAATATTGTTTTAGGTACAATGCGTCAGAGGAACGCCGGCTTGCCAGATGGTGGCACAAGCAAATGTGTTTATGATGATACTACACATGAATATTGTCCAAATGCAGGTAAAGACACTAATGGTGTGTTAAAGTAAACATAGGAGAAATGTGCGTTTTGATTGTATTCTATGATTTACCTGTAATATTGCGCATTTCATTTTAGGAGATGTTCGGGTAAATGTTGTACCAAATCTTGGTTCGATGCACCTTCTGTTTGTTAGATATCACAATTACATTGCAAAGCAATTGGCTGCTATCAATCCTTTGTGGAATGACGAAATACTTTATCAAGAAACTCGTGCTATAGTGAGTGCTATCACACAACATGTGGTTTACAGTGAGTATCTGCCGCTTGTATTAGGGCATGACATTATGGAGCAATACAAACTCCTCCCTAAATCCAATGGCCATGACACGGTTTATGACGAGAAGGTTGATGCATCTACTAGAAATAGTTTTGGTGTTGCGGCCTTCCGTTTCGGTCATTCTCAGGTTACAAACCATCAAAAGCAGTTTAGTAAAACGTACTCTCGAGTTGTGAGCAAGAATATTGAAGACACCTATCATCACCCACATATGTGTGTCGAAAAGGAAGGAAAAGGAAGTGACGGTGTTTTAAGATGGCAGCTTGCAGAGGGTACTGCAAAAACAGACGGGTAAGAGAATAGTCACAGAAAAAATTGCTAATCTAAATTTATCTCTTCATGCCTATAAAAACTTTTGGGTTTTTCAAGAGTATTCGAGAGTGGCGTTAGAGACAAGCTTTTCATGGACTCGGCCGGTAGGAGTTTGGATCTTCCCGCCATCAATTTGCAGCGTGGAAGGGATCATGGGATACCACCATACTGGAAATGGAGGAAATTCTGTGGATTGAATCACAAAACATTCTCAGATCACAATACTGCTGACGAACTCAAACTTCAAAACATTTATAGGTTTGTTTTTGCTAACAAAGTACATCAATTACAAATTGATGGTCTAACTTTAAAAATTGTTTTAAACAAATAAGGACATTTTTATTGTAAAATCCTGTTGCTTAACGTACTAGCATGACCACTTAGATTATACAAGTGTGTTCATATCCTATTCACATTTTTGCCCCTTGACGAAATTTTCTTTTTCTGATTCTTTTAACCGTTTCTTAGCATTTAATAATTTTTAGGCCTTAACTCTATGATTTTAATAAGTTAAAACAAGTTTTTCGTAATAGTGTTATATTATAGTTTTCTTTTAGGCTCTTCTTTTTAAACATGACAAAATTAATAAAAAGTACAAAATTATCACATGTCATGTTTCTGAAAATATCACAAAAGTTCCTGTACTTTACTGAACTTATTCACCTTAAGAACTTTTTGCATAAATTTCTTAAAGAAAAAAAAGAAAGAAAGAAAACTCTTATCATAAAAATTATCAATCAAAATCTAATTAAAGATTAAATTTTATTTACATAATTACAGTCTTCTAAAATTTTGATAATTTCATTCAGTATTTGAATGTTAGGAATTTAGAAAATGTAGACCTCTTTGCCGGTGCTATGACTGAGAAGCACGTGAAAGGTGGAGTGGTGGGGCCGACATTTGCTTGTCTGATAGCAAAGCAGTTCATTCTGTACAAGAAAGGAGACAGGTTCTGGTACGAGAACGATGGCTATACAGGGTTTACTGAAGGTTAGTTAAAATGAAATCCCGAGAGATGCAGTTGTTCTGTGTATAATTCTTGTCGTCTTATGAAGACTTGAAACATTAATTTCCGCAATTATGTATAAAAATGCTTTTTGGACTTTAGATTGGAAAATATATCATTCAAAATATCTTAAAGCAGGGCATAAATTTTCTTGATATATATCCATATAACCAAGAAGTACGATGTCATTTAAATTCTTTATCGCTATCATATTCAGATAAGTATTTTATTCAGTGAATTCAATCCACCCTCTTCATACCTAACTACTGAGTACTAGTAATGCTAACATCTGTTTTAACTGAAAACAGGAACAGTTTTAATAATATTAACGTCCCAATATCTGACAGTATTAAAGACTTGACCTATCAGATTTAAAAACATTATGATATAAACTCTATCTAACGCATCTTTTTATATTTCTTGATTATCTCTCTCCAACATTTTAGATCAGCTGACGGAAATAAAAAAGGTCACACTGTCTTCCATCATTTGTCAAACTATTGAGGTGGATGAGATTACCCGTCATGCATTTCTCGTAATGAGTAATACGTGAGTAAAGTCAGTAAACAATATATTTTTCTGTTCATTACAGTAAAATACTAGTGATACCAAAGTCATCTCATAACATACGCACAAACGTGGATTCTAATATACAAGAAATAACAGTACTTATTGAATTTTCTAGATTGTTTAAGTGTGCTTATCTGTTAAGTGGAAAGGAATAGTATTCTTGCATTGACTCTTGTTTTTTTCCCCCCAGAAACCCAAGAGTGAAATGTAACAACCTAACACATCCGATCTGGTCACCATGGAGAAATTTGTCTTAGGGTATTTCGCTTGCAAGGACTATAACAGTTAATACTAAAAATCACTTTCCCAATTGTTTTTAATTTGTTATAAATAAAGGAATAAGATTTTTTTCATAAGACCAGCTAGCAAAAAACTGTGCGTAAAATGACAACGAGTGATAATTCCTCATACAAGTGGTAAAATTGTGTTTTTTGGATGATAAGTTAAGACCCCATGCAATGTATCGCAAGTATAAATTTACAGAGAAAATGAATTCGAAAAATAACTGTTTTTAAAAAGCAGAGAAATGGTAAATCATCTTCAAAAATGTTGACTCATATAACAGAATAAAGGAAAATGCCAAAATATATTCACTTCAATTTGTGTTTCATCAACAAGCTTCCTCGAGTGAGTCAAAGTTAGCGTGATGAAATATGGAGATAACGAACAGTATTCAAGCTCAAAGTCCATAAAAACAATACAAGTCGGGAGGAGCGCAAACACGGACCTCCAAAAACATCAGAGGTGGGATCAGGTGCCATGGAGGAGTGAGCATCCCCTGCCGACATGTCACAGCCGCCGTGTGCTCCTTGTCATGATCGGGAATTAACGGAAAAATCCGTCGACAATTCAGTGTGTAAATAATGGCCTAACAATTAGTATGAAAAACGTCAGTCAGCATTTGACTTGATAGATTGTATTTGCTGACAAGGTCATTGTATCGACCAAAGAACTTACGAAATGATGACTTTAAACGAGACTGTTGATATTCTTGTTTCGTCAACTTGTTTGCCAATAACTTACCACGTTTTAGAAATTGTGTATACGTAGAGCTATTGCATATCGAATCAACTGAGAGATATACACCCCATATGCAGGTGGTAAGGGTATATCGCTGCATAAGTAAGGGAAGTTGACGATTAAAAAGTGAAAGTCATCATGTTTATCATAAAGCTTGGCTGTTAGATAACCATTAATGTCTTTTTCTAGTAAAATATCCAAATATGAAACAGATGTGTCAGACACTGTGGTATCTTTTATTTCAAGCTCACTGGAATATATGGTGTCGACATATAAATGGAAATAACTATTGTTAATTGATAATACGTCGTCGATATTTATAAATGTCGAGTTGAAGGCCACGGCAAGAAATTTCTTATTTTAATGTGTGAGATTTTGAATAAATTCTGCTTCATATGAATACAAAAATAGGTCTGCTTACAACGGGGCTCATTTGGTACCCATGGGAATTCCAACAGATTGTTGGAAGACCTGGTTTCCAAAAACCACATAGATATTGTCAATCAGAAACTCAAGCATCTTTTTAATATCAACATCAGAGTACTTGTGTGAGAGTACAATGAGAATGTTTGAATAATTGCGATCAAAAATATTAAAATAATTTTCAAGTGTATTTAATTCGTCCGAAGGAAGAACTTATTTGTCCACACAGATATCTTGTTCGTCTGAGCGAAGAACAAACTTGTCAAAACTAATATCTTTTATATATATATATATATATATATATATATATATATATATATATATATATATATATATATATATATATATATATATATATATATATATATATATATTGTTCGAATAACTATTTTTTTTTCTGGGCTTCAATGGCACCGTACAATTGCCTTATATAAATTTTTGTTTCGTATTTATAAATTTTGAAACATGTATTCGAAGATCTTGGCAAATTTGTTAGAGTAAACAATTTTCTAAAATTACAAAATATATATCCTTACAAATTAAAAAAAAAAATGTATTTGCTACAAGTGACCCAGGAATTTTCAATATGCTGATTTCAAATGAGACTGTTGGAAACCCTGTAACATCAATTTATTTGACAGTATCCTGTCTCTGTTTTAAAGTTGATCGTACTTGGAGCATGCTCTGGTGTTCTTAATAAGTTGGGAGACATGAACACCACATGCAGGCGATAGTGGAATATTAATAGATAAATACTTGTAAGTTGCCGATGGAATAGACGATTCAAAAGTCATTCCGTTTGCCATAGATACATTTGTAGTTTATTTGTTAGTCGGGCATAAACGTCTATAATCAGTAAAATACCCAAATATGAAACAGATGATAAGGAAATATTAAGATAACAGTTTTAATGAAATATATGGAGATAACGAACAGTATTCAAGCTCAAAAGTCCATTATACAATACAAAATAGGAGCAGAGCAAACACGGACCTCCAAACATCAGAGGTGGGATCAGGTGCCATGGAGGAGTGAGCATCCCCTGCCGACCGGTCACACCCGCCGTGTGTTCCTTGTCATGATCGGGAAATAACGGAAAAATCCGTCGACAATTCAGTGTGTAAATAATGGCCTAACAATTAGTATGAAAAACGATAAATTGTATTTGCTGACAAGGTCATTGTATCGACCAAAGAACTTACGAAATGATGACTTTAAACGAGACAGCTGATATTCTTGTTTCATCAACTTATTTGTCAATAATTTACCTCGTTTTAGAAATTGTACATACGTAGAGCATGCTCTTGCGTATCGAATCAACTGAGAGATATATACCCCGTAACCAATAGCCACTGTTAAGTATCTATTGTGAAATTTTTATTGTGTGCTGAGAACACAATAGGTCTAATAGATAGAAACATATATAAATATTGCTGTTATAATACATTTGAATTGGTCGTTCGTCCAGTGTTCGTCAGAAAAATGCAAGAAATCAAACATTGAGACCCAAACCTTGGCATCAATCACCTCTTTTAAACTTTGTATCACATTGCTTGGATGGGGTCATATTTTAACGGAGATTATTTTCTTATAAGTTGCACAAGTAGAAAACTGTCACCTACAAAAAAAATCATTTTCTAAGGGGTCTTTATTCGTCTTTACACTGGTCCAAGAATCATGTAGAACTGACTTCATCTTGATTTAGAGTTTTATTGAAGAAAAAACACATAAGATGGTACATGTTATCAAAATAGTCACCTGTTCATGTTTTTAATTTTGATTTTTCATGTCTTGTCATAGGAAAAATATGTATATACAGTGTATTTCCATATTTAAAATACATGACTTTAAGAAAATGATCATAGAAAATGTTTTTCCAGTGTAAAGCTTTGAACCCCTTTAATGAGATTCCGCCCTAGCCTTAAGTTAAGTTTTCACCCAATGTTGGATGCTTATATATTAAATATGGTTAACTGCTGTTTTTAACAAAGTTATTTTTGCGGAGATATGGAAATTTCCGACTTTTTACTGAAGAGGCAGTTATCTTTATATCCAAATACCCACCCCCCCCCCCTTTTTTTTCCTTCCGTGAGGATGGTTGCATAATGTTGAGAAGTTCTACTTCTTGATGTAATCTATGCTGATAAAATGGTGATTATAAATTTTCTAAACGTTCGTTTGAGTTCTAATGAATCCACAATATATTTAGAATACAGTAGGACATGTATAGTGCGTCTGAAGTTTCACCTACACTGCAGTCAGCTTGGTAGAGCATTCAAAAGACCATGCAGTTATCTTTGTAAGGATATTTTTCATAAAACTTTGGAATCCAGTATTGGTATATTAATCAATTTCATATCCGTTGAGTGGAAATGTTAAAAGTATTTTAAAACTGAAACGTGATTCGAAGAAAACTAGTAAGCATCTTGTATCATAAACGAATATAAACGAATAGCTTTTTTGAAATCTCCAAAGGCTACAGAGTAACTACAATTTCCGAAAATCTAAGAAAAGAATATTTCAAAATTACTGTGAAATATGGATATAACGAACAATAATCAAGCTCAAAAGTCCATCGAAACAATAAAAATTGGGAGCAGAGCAAACACGGATCGACCTCTAAAACATCAGAGGTAGGATCAGATCAGGTGTCATGGGGGAGTAAGTATCCCATGTCGACCGGTCACACTCGCCGTGTGCTTCTTGTCATGATCGAGCAAACGGGAAAGTCCGTCGACAATTCAATGTGTAAATAATGACTTAACAATTAGTATGAAATCGTCAGTCAGTATTCGACTTACATTGTTTTGCTGACAATGTCATTCTATCGACAATAGAAGTTGCGAAATTGACTTCAAACGAGACTGTTGATATCCTTGCTTCATCAACTTGTTTGTCAATAGCTTGCCTCGTTTTAGAAATTGTTCATACGTAGAGAATGCTCTTGCGTATCGAATCAACTTGGAGACGTCAACTCCATTTGCAGGTGATAAGGGTATATTGCTATATAAATAAGGGAAGTTGACGATAGAAAAGTTGAAGGCATAATAAAGTATTCTTGTTGCGTTACCAATAACATCTTTCTCTAGTAAAATATCCAAATATGAAACAGATGTGTCAGACTCTGTCGTTTCCTTTATTTCAAGTTCACTGGGATACATATAGTCGACATCTGAATGAAAGCAACTATTGTCAATTGATAATACGCCTTCGATATATCTTAATGTCGAGATGAATGCAACAACAAATGTTGTCTTCTTCTCATGTAGATGTTTTTAAATGAATTTAGCTTTATATAAATATAAAAATGGGTCTGCTAATAAAGGGGCGCAATTACTCATGAGAATTCCGACATATTGTTGGAAGACTTGATCTTCAAAAACTCCGTAGATATTGTCAATCAGAAACTCAACCATCTTTTTAATATCAACTTCGGTGAAATTTTGTGATTTCAAATTTTCTCAAAGTTCCTTTGAGTTTTTTTTTAAGTATCCACATCTGATTTACATCACTTCTCGAATAGTATAGTACTCCTGAAGTTTCTCCTTCACCGCTGTAAAGTAAGAGGCTTGGTAGAACATTTACTGGAACCCGCTATGTATCTTTGTTTGTAAGGATTTTTATGTAGTCTAGGAATCCAGTGTGGTAATTCAAGAATTCAACTTGATTTTTGGAAATTTTAAACATTTTTAAAACTGACATATAATTTTGAAGAATTCCCTCCTTAGAAAGAGAGCTAAGGGTATAAGTTGGATTACCAATTGTTAAATTAAATCCCTCTCCTCTAAAACACTGTTAGAAAAATGGGCCTTACAAACAAAGATGATGTTCTCTTTGAAAAACCATGTACATTTTTTTTTAAATTTAAATTGATTAGTAAATGTTTACAAGAATCTCTCTGGCACAATATAACAACGCTCTTGTCGTATTTCTGGGAAACCACATAACAAATTGAGAATTGACACCCTAGACCTCTCTACCAATAAAGTATTAATTAAGGTGAACCATAGATTGAGCAAAACTGACATGTAATCATAAAGCAAAAAATTAAAAGTATTTCATAGGTAATTTCGGCAGTTCAGAAGTTCTGCAATCACTCCTTCTAACTGAATACAGAATCGCTCGATTCTTTAAACTATAGGCTGTATGCTGTTAATTTTGGATTTTTTATTTACAATAATAAATATGATTGAATACAAAATTCTTTCAGAAACCCGGGAGTAAACACTAAGTATCACTCGGACACATCCTATTTGGTTGCAGTAGAGTGCTTTTTTGCATGCATGAACTGTAGCAGGTTACACAAGGGATTGACGTTCTCGTGCGTTTTCTTAGAAAATGATTACAATGTAGGAGCCTAATTGACAGACGTGATGACTCAGTTTTCTATCGTCAACCTCCCTAGTTTATTTTGTAAGATTATACTATTACCTGCGTATGGTGTTTATGTCTACGGAAGACATGTTCTGAATACGATCAATTTTAGGTAATGGCAAATAAATTGATGTTACTGTGCTCTCAACAATTTCGTAAAATTAGAACTTCCCTAACTCTATAGTCATTATAATGACCTCGTGTCCAAATACAACCTAAAGTTGTGTTTTAAGGCTTTTATTATTATATTGATTTATAAAACGGATGACTCCGTTTACCTGATAAATAAAGAGGGCTCACGGTGTGTGTGACACATGTTTACTCCTCCTAGGCACCTGATCCAATATCCCGATGTTCCCAGGGGTCTGTGTTTTTGTCCAGTTCACAATTTGTATTAAGGATTTAATAAGGTCAATTTCTGTTCGTTATCTTCAACTTTTCCATTAGTAATGTAAAGGGTGCAGATAATGAACAGTGATCAATCTCACAAATCCATTAAACAAAACGAATCTAGAACAGAGCAAAACACAGACCCCTGGAAGTCCAAGAGGTGAGACCAGGTGTCTAGGAGGAGTAAGCATCCCCTGTCGACCGATGTATCGAAGAATATTGAACTGGTTTGAAAACTGACTAAAGGTTCATTTCCAACGTTCAAATATTAAACTAGGGGTGGCTTTTCAACGTTGAGAATTGAGACCAAAAGTCGTGAAATTTATACCCGGGATCATTTTTCAACAGCTTGGTAATTTTGTTTCTCTGCACTTAAAACAATAACGCGTTGAAAATTGACCCTGTTGAATATTGACTCCAACTACAGCTTTTTGTCCTGGAAGTTGTTATACACGATTTATGTGTACATATATCTACGAATACATTTATCAATTTCAGAATTTGAATTTCTTCTAGAATAATAAGTTCAGATTGAAATCAGCAAACCAATAGCATGTGAACATATTTGTAAGTTAATAATTATTGTTGTTCAGTACACGGTATTTCTTATTTCGTGGTTATCTATGACAAACGTTATCGAAGATAAACTCCTAGAATTGTCAGTGACATGTTCTAAATTTTGAATTTAGACACTTTACTGAGTGGGAGTACGGTACTTCTTATTTCATGGTCATCTTTGACAAAAGTTATTACAGATGACCTACTAGAATGACCATCTAAGGGATCCCTTCATCACCTTCCCCCTTTCAGAAGTCTATTATTATATAAAGCTTACTGTATACCGGTGCCTATGAAAGTTAGTTTTGCATTGGTTTAATTTTTTTTCAAAATTGGGACAAAATTTGGTAGATTTTTTTTCTGCATCGATTGTACAGCTGTATATAAAAAGTACATACGACAATAGAACAGCAAAATTGTATAACAAAAATAACCAGATTTACAGTATTTACTTGAATTCTAATCAATTGATTGCAAAATAAATCTCTTAAACATAAGAATTCATATCAATGCATAGCTTTGATTAACCTACACATCGCTAGGACATCTAGAAAGCGATTTGCTAGAAGAACTTGGGTTTTAATTTTACTTCTGGAAATCCATATTGTACACTAAGCTTACTTTCTAAGGATAAATTTCTTCAAAATTACGCTTTCGTCTATCATTCTTTTAACATTCTAGTCAACGGAAATGTATTTGATTTACCCTACCTATACAGGATTCCTAATTTTAATAAAGGTCCTTACGAACAAATGCTGTACCAAGCCCAAGTTGTGACTCCAAAATCATAATTGTTATATTTTTGTTATAATTTTATATATGTATTTATGCTGTTAAATTTTGACCCCGTTTAATTATCAAAATTCCGCGATGCGGGGTTTAACTTTCAACGACTAGGGTCTGAATTCAACACCCTTGGTCTCAATATTCAACGTTGAAATATGACCCCCGGATCAGTTTTCAACCCGTGTCAAAATTCTTCGTTACACCAGTCGCATCCACCAGGAGCCCTATGTATTGATCAGATAGACGGAATACTCCGTAGTCAAATTTAGTTAAAAAAAAAAAAGCAAAGACCTAACAAATGGTATGAAACGTATCAGACAAAATGCGGCCGAGCGATAGGTTGTATTTACAAATAAGGTCATAATAAGGACCGTAGAATCTGCGAAAAGCTGACTTCATACGGGGTTGTTGAAATCCCTGTAACATCAACTTATTTGACATATTGCTTATCTCTTTCTACTCAAACAGAACTAGAATCTGGGCTTTTAATTTTGCTGTCTTACTTGACGTGCATAAATGCGTTTCCAAAATGCAGTAAAACAATTCCAACCAATACTATAAAAAATTTAAATAATAGTTAAATTATGGTGAACTAATGAAATATGGAGATAACAAACAGAATACAAGCTCAGAGTCCATTTAGAAGATACAAATCGGGAGCAGAGCAAACACGGACCTCCGAAAAATTCAGAGGTTGGATTAGCTGCCATGGTGGAGTGAGCATCCCCTGCCGACCGGTCGTGTGCTCCTTGTCATGATCGGGAAAACGGAAAAATCCCTAGACAATTCAGTGTGTAAATAATGGCCTAACAATTAGTATGAAAAACGTCAGTCAGCATTTGACTTCATGATAGGTTGTATTTGCTGACAAGGTCATTGTATCCACCATAAAACTTGCGAAATGACTTCAAAAGACACTGTTGATATCCTTGTTTCATCAACTTGTTTGTCAATAGCTTGCCTCGTTTTAGAAATTGTTCATACGTAGAGCATGTTCTTACGCCAAGTGAATTTGTCCAGTAAATTTCTTAAGCCCACTGCCACAAAATAATGGAAAATTTAAACTCAACCCTAAAATTGAAACTAAGAGTGAATTTATAATCAATTACATTGATTTACACTAACATGAATTTGCTAAGATATTTGTTGCACATTTCATCTACTTCAAATACATGTATGTGCATGTCCTTTATAATGAATGCTTTGTTTAACACCCCCCCCCCCCAACCACTAAATCTATATTATAAATTACTAAAAAAAAAATACAATTTTCATTTACTTATATGTCCTTTCAATAAAAGTTTTGCCAAAATGGTCTCACACACTTATTAAAAACCATAAAATCTTTCAAAGCCATGAACCAGATTATACATTGTACTTAGTACATTGTATTTCACTGAACCAGATGTTTCTGATAAGACTGTAACTCTGCTGGTGTGAAATTGACCAAAACTGTAGCCTTTTGAAAGAATTTCACTATTTACCACCATGGCATAATCATTGGCCCAAATCAGAAATGGTAACTAGAATTATGTGTTTTTGTCTAGTTTATCTGTGTACCAAGTTTATTGAAATTGAACCAAAGCTGTAGGAAAAATAGCGTTTTGAGATAATTTCACAGAAAATATATTTTTAGCAACCATCAACAAGGAAAATGAAATAGAACCAAAATTGTAGGCATTCTGAGATAATTTCAAGGAAATTTCTTTTCAGTAACCATGGCAACACTGTTAATCAATTCATAGTGTACTATCATTGGGTATACATGCATGTCCTTTCTTGTGCACACAATTTAATTGAAATCATATCAAAACTGTATGAGTAGTGTTTTGAAAGAATTTCACACAATTTCTACTTTTAGTAGTTATGGCAACACCATTAATCATAATTAAAAATTGGTCAATAGAATTATGAAGCTTTGTGTAGCCTACATGTGTACGAAATTGATACAATTTACAGACAGACAAACAGATGACAGACACCTTCCATCACATACTCCTCTAAATATTGAGCTAAAAATTCAAGAAAAATATCTTTAAGACATGTACTTATACACAATTTTATTGGTGTATAAAAATAAGGCACAAATGACACAAGTGATGAAGATTCATGATTTGCATAAAGGTTTAACAAAAATAGTCAAGTTAATCACAGGCTAGTTATAACAAGTCATTGGAGCTCTCAGCACTTCTTTATTGTAAAGTTATTCTAATTCACCAGTTAAATTTTGTTTGTTTTAATACTCTTAAATTCCCACATTAGCAAATAAAGTTCCATAGGAATTCAAAGACTGCTTTTAAATTTCAAATTTTGATAAATACCCGGGACAAAAAATACAGTATATCTGCACTTAAAACAAATGAAAACTGAATTTCTTTCCATAAAATTAAGATTACAAATATTATAACAAGTGGCTAAAACTTGAAAATTTTAAAATCATTTCAAAATCTGTGTAAAATGGGTTATAACACCTTCACAGAAGTGACATACATAAAACATTACAATGCAGTCAAAGTGCCTGGCTATAAACCGACACATGATTACAATACAAAACAATAATATCTTTATAATAATAATTTGATCTATATAATATATATATATATATATGTGTATATATAACTCAATATGATAGAAAATTTGTTCATAACATTCATTCAAAAACTTATTACATGTATAAACAAATATAACAGGTTTTCTCTCTTACACTGTGAGCTCTCAGTTGATGGGCATGCTCTACTTGACTTTTTAAATGATATAAAAATTAGACTTACCCTTATCAAATTAGTTTTCTGTAGAATAGACATTTTAAAATATCAACTGCCTTATCAAATGCTTTTAATACAAAAAATACCCCCCCCCCCCAAAAAAAAAGAAGCTAAACTGGAAATTCTGCAACTAATTCAAACTTTGCTTTCCTCAGTTTCATAGAATTTACCTAAAAATTAACACTGTAAAGTTAAACCTTCAGTAGAGAGAGACAAACCAACAGTAATACTCATCCTTAAAGCCTGTTAAGTATAGATTCTAGTGCTATATATTTATGAACACCTGTACACATTATTTACACTTATATACAAATAATCACTGGGACTTGGGAGTTTTTTTTACTTCCATCTATCACATTCGTCATGAAATCTGTAGCTACTATTTAACATTAAGCATCTGTACAATTTATACACCTTTGATATAATGTATACATCTTTGAGAACATTCATTCTTGTGATAAAATAGAAAGCTAGGATCTGGTATCAGGAAACAGTAATTTAATAATCTTCCCTTTCTTTTTGCTACCCTGGATAACAAAGTGGACATCAAAGAACTTGACTCAAAAAATATTTTTCTTTCCAGGAGAATGTGCACTTGGTTATCATTCAGTACTTTCAATTATTTATTGGAGTTCTTAAAAAAAAATTATTTTATGCTTAATAAAACTACATAATTAGTTACTTTAAACAATATTGATTCAGACAACTGAATAGACTGGGCAACAGGCATGCAGTGCCAATAAATACCCTCTCCATACAAGATAAATTTGTTAAATTAAATAATGTGGCAAAAGAATAATTTCTCCCTAAAACTAGGTGATCTCAGAACCAAAACAATCATTCCTAGCCAAAGATTTTCCAGAATATGTTTTACTGATTAGATTCCAAACTGAATTGAAATTAAAGTTCACTAAATTAGTTATCAGACTTGCTGAAAATTATTAAGAAACAAAGTATACTGACGTGATACATAGTCCTTTCCTCCCTTCCTCTATGACAAACTATTCAGAAACAAACCTATCTTACAGTTATTTTCCCTTAATGACAAAATCAATGAATACTGCAGGTAAAAAAATGCATTTCCTAAGAACAAAAAATTACAAAGAGACCCAGAAAAGTGATGCTTTTAAACAATCACAAAAAAAAAATTACAGAAAATTCAAGGAAATATATCGTTGCTCATATAAATCTGGTCTTTCTTTCCCTTAATAAAGGTAGACAATTTTTTAAAATGCACCTTTAAATACTGGTTTATAGCAGAGTTGGTAAGAAAATTTCCAGGACTTGGACGAAACCTAGTTTTCAAAATATTAAAAAAAAAAAACAAATTTGTGTATCCATAGACTCAGTTGTGAAGAGAAAGTCAAAAGGAAAGCATCAGACCGACACAGAACTACCGCTTACTCATTGTCATGGTTACGGACATTAAGCCATCTTTAAAACTCTCATACCACAGGAACATTTTTTGAGATGGCATTAAGCAAAAAAAGTTTACACTGAATGGGAATAATGCCCAGAAGTGTCTGTAGAAATTCATTGCACCTTTATGAAGAGGCAGGGAAAATAAATCAATTGACTATCGTGTACTTGTCCTACTAAAAACATAAACACAGGAAAAATGATTTCATATCAAAATACAGATTTCATGTTAACAGAACACCATATAAAAAGTACAACAGTAGCATTAGTAAAGAGGAAAGCAGTGTTTGTCATGCTCTGACTTAGATACCTCTTACTATGGTAAAACAATAGTCTTAACAGCAGAACAAACCAAGGTTTTACACAAGAAATGTGACAATGGACAGAAGGCATACAATAAACATACTGTACAATGCTCAGGAGTAATCAACCAAGAGTAATGGAACTGTAATATCATCTCATCTTTGTGCAAACATTTTTTTCAAATAATCTCAGAAATTCGATGATTTTTGTTCATGTTTGCCATTATTATACGAAGGTGCCATAGTACTGTATGTATGCTAATTTTTGTTGGATTTATTTTTCAGCACCTCTGATGCAGTCTCAGTGTGCTATTTCATAATCAAAATCATGCATCAATTCAATATATTGCCAATAGAAGTCACAGTTCGTGATTGTTCAAATTATTTCATGTAGATTTATATCCCATTCAGGGTTGCTTTTAATACCCTGATATTCTTTTTTTTTTTTTTAATTGAAATAAATCAGAGGCAGTTCATGAAATCGGTATAAATGATCAGACTTATCAATAAACAAATGTAATTATGCTTAACTATATGTCCAAGTGAGTGTCAGAATGAGGGGTCAGTATTAAGATTTTTTTTTCTCATTAGACATGCACTCTTTTCAAAATAAAGTGAATAATTGACTGGTAGACAAAACTGGTGCATAGTTTGTTTTTTGCCCTTTGTTTGCACAGCAAAGTTGAATATCTAATTTCCTGATGAAACATTCATTATGGTTACTGACTTATGGTTTTATAAAACAAAATAATGAAATGGAAGGTTGAAATATATCATGGTGAGATGGTGGGTTTGAATATTACAGAACTGTCATAGCTAATTAATACTTTGTATTCCGAGTCTGTCAGATATATCCATCTGAAGCACAGAATCGGAACCCTCTGGTATTCTCCACTCTTACTCTGAAGCTTGGATAAGCCCACTGGAATCTTATACAGCTATTCTGCACATCAAATCCAAGGAACTTGATTCGACATGTCTCAGATACTATTCAAGTGTTTCTAGTACATCATTCTTGAAAGACGTCTGTGGGTATTCAATACTCCTTTTATATACATCAGAATTACAAGTCCTGGATTTTCCGCAGAAGATATACTAAGAGATATATACTTTGTTTGACAAAGATAATTCCCTTTTCACTTCTGGTTTTTGTTGTTGCAAAGTTTACCAGATGAACACGTGTTTGAGGAAACTTCTGCAACACAATACTTCATTTACCCCGTTATCCATCTGTGACCTAATAAGTCTATTGCAGTTGGCCTCGTGCTCGGATTTCTATCAAATGTTTTATTAAGAACATCATGACACAGTTCTGAAATATGATTTGGCAATGTGTATCTTGGTTTTTTCTCCATAGCAATTTTATATAATGCAGCCATAGACTCATACTCTGCCCATGGTGGCTTGGTGGTGACCATTTCCACTATGGTACAGCCAACACTCCTGAAAGAAGAGAGATGCATTTATTGTCAACTATTACAGTGCTTTCAGATTACATCATACAGCAAGAAAATGTTGATATTATCCAATTACAATTATTTTTGTCAATTTCAGAAACTGATACAACTAGTTATGCTTGATAAAATAATTTGGTCAAAGTTAAAGGAAAATTAATACACTGTATATCTATACACAAATCCATCTAAATTTTATGCCAACGTGACAATTTTATGTAGTACAAGTCTTACCAGATGTCAGCCTTACGTCCATATCCTTCACCATTTATAACTTCTGGAGACATCCAATAGGGGGTCCCCACCACGGAGTGTAGACCAGTGGCACTAACAATTGTCTGTAGGCGCTTAGAGGCACCAAAATCAGCCAACTTAATGTTACCATTGCCATCTCTCAGTATATTAGCACCTACAAGGACAAAGAAATTAGAAATTTTTCATTATTCAATTCAGATGCAAAATACACCATTACGAAAATATTTTCTAATGTTGAAACTCTTACATTATTTATATTGAGGCATAGATAGTCACATGGTTGTCTCTAAGACCCAGGGGTCGGGGAATTTCCCCACCTATAATGACATAATCCCCCGGTTATTCTGGTATTCCCCTTTGACCCCCTGTTAGGGGAGGAACCCTAGACCCTCTTCTACTTTTTAAATGTCCCCTACTATTTCAATTCTTAGGGACAACTCTGAGTCATCTTAAATTAAACTAGACACTACGCAATGTATTTCTCCCCTTCAAATTAATTTAAGGGTCGAGGTGATATAGAGGTTGTGATACCATACAAACCTTTAATATCCCTGTGTACAATGACATTTTTATGGAGGTAAGCCAGGCCCTCTAACATCTGTTTTGTATACTTTCTGGACACGTTTTCTGTCAGAGGTCCATACTTTGTGATTTCATCTTTCACAGAGCCCTAAAAATGGGCACAAGTCATCTAAATTTTCACTCATAATAAACATGTCTCACTATTATCCATGTTTTCTTTCAAAGAAAAATATTTATTAAGACGTATTTACTACATAAACAGTAATTACACAGTTTACAAGATTTCTTCTTCCTAAAGTACTTACTGTACTAATCCTTCAATTTAAAATTTTAATGAAATGTTTTAAATAGGGATGGCAATCGCATACAAAATCCTCTAAAAAGACAATTTAAGGAACTGATCTGTTCCCCAGACTTAAGTTGCTTGTGCACTGGATAATATGACTGCATAGAAATTGAAATATTTGTATCCTGTATCCTTGAGAAAAAGATATTTCCTATGTACATAAGGAACAAACCTAAAAGTCCACTACACGAAGATGTTTGCATACATAAATAATTTGTAATTTTGTAGTTAATGAAGAGATTTTGAAAGATCTTCCTTCCTATATCTATGTAAATTTTTTGGATCCTAATTTGTGGTCCCATCAGATCCTGGGAGCCATGTTTTGAACTTGAATCCTCACTGCACAAGAAAGCTTCCATAGTACACAATTTATCATTCTTTTGTTGCCCAGCAGTTCTTGAGAAGAAGATTTTTATAGGATGCCACATTATTATTGTGATTTCTTAATTATCTCCCTTTGGAAAGGGGTTATGGTTATTCATTTGAACAAACTTGAATCTAATCACTGAAGAATGCTTTGTGGCAAATTCAATTAACATTGGCTGATAAACTCTGCAGAAGAAAGTGTTAAAAGTTTACAAAGTTTACAACTGACAGACAACAACAGACAAAATCATAGCAACAAGTCACCTGAATGATTAGAGCAACTTAAAAAACTTAATGCATGGTAAACTATGAACAGAAACAGTGTTTACTTACTCCAGGTAAGTACTCCATAAAGATATATAGTGATTGCTTGTCTTGTGCACAACCAAAGTAGGAGACAATTCTTTCATGTTCAAAGTTTCTTAGCAGATGAATTTCATTTTCCAAAGCTCGAACTTCCTGTTAAAATAAATCCAAGTCATAAGTCACTCCAAATAAATCCAAATTCATATTATACTTCATTCCAAATAAAATCACATTGACTATAAAAGACAACAAACTTTAAATTGCATGCTGAGAATTAAAATTATATAGCATGCAAATGAAATTTACTTCTAATTTCACTTTTAAAACTTCATTCTTATTGTTTTATATCCTTTTTAAACTTTCAGTAAACAAGATTTTCCTCTGATGCAAATTTTTCATATGACATGTATAAAGTATATTAAAATAATTAAACCTTGGACGTTTCAGCATTCATCTGTTCTAGTCTGACCACTTTCATGGCTAGGTCTCTGCCTGTGTCCTTGTCGTGACAAACATACACCTCACCGAACGCTCCACTTCCTAACAGAGCCCCTGCCTTCCAGTTCACAGGACAACGTGGGGCTGAAAAAAAAACAAGAGTAGATTATAGATCATAAAATAACATACAAAATTATAATTAAAACAGGCAAAAGATCTATCCATGATGTCAATGCTCAGTAGATAAAGAAAACAAACAAGAATTTCAAGGATAAATTTTGCATGTCCTGAAGTATATACTCCGTAAAACATACTAAGTCTTATAGCAAAGTGCCACAGACAAACAATACTGATTCATTATAAACCTAATTCATTATAATCGACAATATCTGATATCACACTTTTTAAAACTACAGAGAATGAAAGTCATTTTACTGTAACTGTTTATTCATTATAAGCATACAATATCCAAAATCTATGGGGAATGAAAGAGTTATTTTACTGTAAATTCATTATAAGCTTGTTTTTACCGTATGATTCTCTTACATTTTGATAAGGAGAGATCTGCTAAAGCATATACAGGACTATCCAGATCACTATTGCGTTTGATCATAATACGTCCATCAGGAGAGTCCATGTCATGATCGGGAGGGAAGCCACTACTGTTACTACTAGAGCTGACCGTGGACATCGTACCCTCACTCCCCCTCGAAGACATCACTGACCTCAAACTGTTACTGAGGTCTGGCCGGGAACTGACCGTTGGTCTTATCCGTGGAAATGTACTAGGTCCATCCACCATTTGTTGAGACAGAGAGCCCATACTCCTTGGAAATGTCCCAAATTGATTTCGACCTTCTACAATATACAAGTCTTTCTATTTGTACATATGATTTCAAAATTTGAAAAGAATACTTCTTTACACTAATTTTGGTTCTTTGAAAGTTGAAAACAATCAGCAATGAATTTTTACGATCATTTTTATAAAAAAATTAATTCTTTCTAATGATTAAATGTTCCTATTAGTAGGTGACTCCGCAAAACTTACCATCATCCCTTTCAACAGGCAAAATACTTCTACGTGAAGTGGAGCGGCCCCTGAGTGGAAATGTATCTCCACCACTGTAATTACAAAATAATCTTTTCAAATCAAAATTTTAGTGGATTTCAGGGGCAACTTGTATACAAATAAAATCCAATGAACTGATATGCTGAATAAATTTGTCATTTATGAGGATATGAATTTATGGATATACAAGGGTGGCCAATGAATCCCACTTTGAACAAACATTGAACAGTCATGATTCCACAGTAGTCATTGCATTTATTGAAAAATTAGAGATTTCATTACTGATATTAACATTACTTATCCATATCTTATCATATGTGTCTTCTATTCTTAAACCTTCACTGTACTAGTATTGCTGTACATGAAATGACTTACTAAAAGTAACTAGAGAGTGACTTTGTAGCTGTTCATATGAAACGTCCTGCTAACTTGTGTAACTGATGAAACAGCTAATAGGGGCTTTTAATAGTATAACGGCTAAGCAAGAACTTCTTACTCTTAGTGCCCAGTAAAATTATAGTGATTTCTATATTATTGGTGATGTTGTTTACAAAATGTACAGTAAGTACAACCAAAAAAGCAAGTCATGTATAAAATCCTCAGTCATTTCCACATTACTTACTAAGAGCTCATGTAATTGCTGTCTAATGATATGTTGCTTTCTGTTATTGAGCCAGTCTGAAAGAAAAAAAAAGGAAGCATCAATATCAAGGATCTGGGTACACAGATGCCTCAGATGGTCTAATTTTTATTAAGTGAATTAAGTGAAACATGCAATTTCATCATTGTGATATTTGAAGGGAAAAAATGAAAGAATTTTCTCCCACATTCAACATTGTAACACAATAAGCTACAAGAAGAAGATGTTATCAGCTTCTGACAAGTAAATTTTTCAGTGATATTTACAAACCAGCATGACTAAACAGAAAACTCCAACTGTGTCCCATAATCCAGATAACAGTACAAAATATAGGGCATAAAAATCAGCTGTAACCTTAAACCAGGCTACAAATCCCACTCACACTAAATCCTTTGTAAAAATCTTTTTAATAGACCCGATAGAAAAAAAAATTAAAAGGGTCTGTAAATTTGCTCTAATTTTCTCTGTATAGAAGTGTTTTGGATTGTGTCACCTGACAGATACCTATAAATCGTTAAACTCAGTATTAATTATCTTAGCTTCAAAGTCATAAAACTTAAAACATGGCAATGAATGCCAAAAAGAATTCATATTAATTCTATATCTTTTATTTTAAAAATTTTGCCTTGTCATTCCTTTTTGGCTGGGAGAAAGAATTTTGCAGTGGCTATAAGTGAAGGGAAACAAGATTGAGATTTCCAAATCATCATATCATTTTCATAGATTGCTGCTCTTTACAAAACATGAACTATTACTGAAATGTGATTCTTGACAGATTTATTACTGATTGCTAAAATAGCCATTCCACAATGAAAATAGTTTACAGACATTATCTATTTAAGATTTACGCTGCCTCTTCTTCCTTGTAAATCGTGACAACTGCATTAATGTCTCTCATACAAGTACATAAAAAACTCCAAATACTGAGAATTTTAATGAAGATATCATAATTAATTTCCTTACGAGTCAATCTACCTACACAATATTTCATGATGTTTTTACATATATTATGTCACCTGATGCAAGCAAATGATAATTTATAAATGCAGTGGCATCCCATAGTTGAAGCACTTTTAACTAAACCAACAGTATTAATCAGTGTTCACTGTTGAAAATGGTTGACAAATTTTACGTGGGTAGACTTAGAATTATGGAAAAGCCAAGTTTTATGAGCAAGGCATGGGTCAAGTTTGATAAAATCAACAAAATGTTACAAAAAGACAAATCACATGTGATTAGTGTTCAGGGTTTGGTTAAATGGTGGGCCTAGAATAATATCTGCATGGAGACAATTGTGTTCCTATAATAAGTTTACATTAAAAACATTGGCTCTTTTCTCAAAACATGAATATTCTACTTACATGACTTCATTTATTTCATGTGTCTACTGGGGAAGGTAAATTTAAGTCTGAAGGGCTACCAATTTGTTCTGAGTATAGAAGTTTAATAAGTTCAGTAAATTTCTGAATACATGTTCATACATATGATCAGAAATTCTTCCAAGGTTTATCATGTTTATAGAAGACTGATACCTAAAGAACGTTTACAAATAACTTCTAGAATGCTATTTTTTTTCTCTTTTTCCTAAATGTTCAGAAAGCCATTCCTGTTCGTAGCATTTTTAAAAAAATTAATTTAATCTTATTTGTAATACAAACTTTTCAACAAACAGAAAATAACGCATTTCAGAGTTTAAATATATTCAGAAAGTCAGCTTTAGCCATGTGTCTTCATCAATAATTTCATTAAAGTTATCTAAATAAACAATCTATTCTATAACTTAGTAAATGTTTTTCAAATTACTTCTTCGGACTATTTAAAACTATAAACACAGCATTGTAGCTTCAAGTGAAAGTATTTAATCCATATGATGTAAACCTGTACTGCAGCAATACATATACAAGTTAATGTCATATAGTTATAAATAGTGTATGCACCTTATTTTCTTATTTAAAATATCAGAAATAAATACAGGTTTGCTCTATGAATAAAAAGGATGACAGAAAAAGGGCACCTAATAGTATATACAACACACAACTAAACATTAACGTCAAGTTTGAATAAAATAAATTATGGATTGACTTCCTGACAAGCTTTGAAGTCCAGCAATAACCACATACATAATATATAAATTACGTGGTTTAATTTATTTCTTGGAGGGGAATCCCTTTGTCAAGAAAGGGACAAACCAGCGAGAGGTTAGGTACGGGGTTCATACAAGGTCAAAGTCAATCCATGTTATAAACCATAAACATGAATCAGCTAGACACAACCTCCTCAAGGCTTCAGTCATTTTTTAAAAACATAAAAAAACCCTTACTGTTTCAGGTTATGCTTTCTTAGATATTTACTTTGGTTAATGTTACAATTTTTCTAATCTAGTGAAATATATGTGGATTTTTTGGATTTTTTTATGTTTGTGTAGGTTCTGTTACTCATACAGCTGTATAGTGTATAAAATAATCCTCAGAGTTAAGATAAATATACATCTACTGAAATAAGAAAAAAACGAACACGGTTATGCATGTATTGTTAATTTATCCATGATTGACCTTTTGACCCTGAATTTAAGCTAGTAGACTCAGAAATTAAAGATGTCTCCTTTAATTGAATATGAAGTAAAAATGTAATTTTCTTATTAAAAAGTACTTAAAGGGTTTTTATCACGTCTCAAAATTATTTGATATGACAAAGTTTACATGATATTGAAATCATATATTTAAAATTCTTTGCTAGGAAATTAATATTTTTGATGTTTCAGCGATTCTAAGTTTGAATTTCTCAATATGCATATTTTGATTGCTGATATTACGCGCCATTGCTCTGACATCATAGGTGTCAATCCTGGTCAAGCGAACTACTTATTGTGTATACAAAAGGGCTCATTTGTTGCATCCTAAAAGGTAACCATGTCACCTAAATATGCTATACTCTGTTCATAGTCCTGACCCTTCTGGTCTTGATTTTTGCTCAAATTTAATGTGCATCTTTCTCTTACCATTCTCTACTATGAGAAAATACAAAAATAATCAATTGTTTGTGAAAAGATATGTAAATTATTGCATCACATTAGTAATATAAATAATCTCAATCTTTGACAAAGTGACTCCAAAACCTACAGGTGTCTTTCTCAATACAACCTCTCCTTAAATGTAGTTAAATTAATATAAAGTCATAAACTGTGTAATTTATTTTATCAGCAATTCTGTCAATAACCTCCACTTCTGACCATGAACTTTAACCAGGTGACCCCAAATTTATAAAACTTTGACCAGGGGATCCCAAATTTACATAATAAAACTTTGACCAGGTGACCCCACACCATATTTACATTTTTGAACTTTGACCAGGTGACCCAGAAATTTACATTTTATTCCGATCATCAACCTTTATGGAAAACAGTAAGTCTACAGTTTGTGAGTGTTCAAATTATCAGATCAATTATTGAAAGTATTATTACTTTTGAACAACCACTTCTTTTTACCTAATATGTAGTAATTAAAATATGATGTAATTCAAATATGATGTCTGTAGAATGAAAGGTACTCCAGCACATAAAAAGTGTTGGCAGGTAGAATGACTGGCCCTGTAATATAATAGGGTCCCACACATTGAAGTGGGCTTCATTTTTTAGCATCATGTTCAGAATCTTAATTCAATGTTTAAAAAAGGTATTCTAACAAAACACAAGATATGGAACTGTTTCAATCTTTTTACTTTGAGTAAATTGTGTACGTCAAAGGGACAGAAACAAATGTTACGATTATTAATGGCAGTTGTTGGGAGGGTATATATATACCATCTCTGATATTCCTTATCTGAAGTACCATATACTGTAGACGTAATTTTTTCGTGTGGGTTTCATTTACACTATGCATGCTGTTAAATTTCATTTAAGGCTTACAATGACAATCCATGAAATCCACGTAATTTGCTACCTGCAGATTGAACAAAAATTGTGATTCTGCAGAATTATGACTCCACGGAAAAAAGTGTGTTTACAGTATATAAATATGTGGAAGGAGGATGAGAGGGTAATCTTACCTCATCACCCTCAGGGATGAACTCTCCTTCACTGTTGATGGAATTACAAGACACACTGTGGCTGAAGTTGTGGGGCAGTGATCCAGGTGGAGGGCTGGGGGATTCAATATCTCGTCCCTGAAAAAAGGAAGGACAATTATTACTCTGTAAACTGATCCATTAATGTGATGAACTTTTTTTTTTTATTTTTATCTCTTCTTTACTTCAAATGATACATTTTGACTGAAAATCAACAATTTCATAAATCACTGTCACTTACCATTTGATTTCATATATCATAGTCACTTACTATATTTTTTCATAGTGATGTTGACCTTTGGGAAATACAGTAAAACTTGTGTATTCTGAAATCTTGCCTATTACAATCTTAACTTCAAGTCCCTCTCAGTAATTTCAATTGTTAAAATGTTGTGTAATCTGGAATGTTGTCTAGTCAGGCCAATTTCTATGATACCAGTGGTGTTGGGATTAGACAAGTTTTACTGTAATATATGTAATATTCATGTACGATCTGTATGTTCTTTAAATTGTTATAATATATGTATTGTATATGTATGTATTGTATACAAATGTTGGGAGGGAGCTAATCTTAATTATCAGCATGTACGATCACTTACACAAGAAACATGTCAAAATATTGCTATTGTAGCAAAAGTATAACTAACAGCTGGGGACATGACCAAAATTATCTATTTTTTATTATTCTTTTACACTTGTTCCTTAATTCAAACAGTTTTCAACTCAAGCATTGGAAGTACATGTATACATTTTTTTCATTTAACATAACATTACTGGTGATCAATACCAGTATATGTGATGATCAATTGTAAGTTATTATGGGAGAGAGGAAAATTCTTTTTAAGGAATCAAACCTGGATTTCCTCAAAACCCTTCCAGAGTATATATAGAGTTGATGAGCTCAATCTCAGCTACTATAGGTATGTGCTTATTAACAGTCAATTTGGACAGCTGTAAGATACATTGCCAAATTGCTTCAGCCTCCATGTCACTGAAATTTTGAACATTTAGAATGGTGGACAAGGAAATGTTTGAATGATATTTCCTTGTTATTAATAAGATGTGGAGCACTTCCCCTTTTTCTAGGCATTTATTACTTTCTGTGAATTTGTTTAAAAAATTCACATATAGAAGTTCCATGGGAAAATAACACCTGTATATTTTCTACACTATTATACTTCTATCATTTGAAAGGTAAACACAATTTATATGTCAAATCAAAGTCCACAATTTTTATGTAAATACAACTGCCCAGTACCATACCTTCCTGAATTTGAAAACACTAAATATATTATCAATTCTTTCCCTACTGCCAGGAAAATTTATTTGAAAAAAAAAAACAACTGCTGCTAGTAGTGTTCAACAGCTCAAAATAACTTCCTACTCATGCATATTTATCACAAAATATTAGTGGTCATACAACAATTGCTCATTTCTATTCAGTATTACGAGGGCATTAATAAATAATTAACCTGGATCTGGTATTGACGTGTGTTATGCTTTTCTCTGTTGTGCTTTACATCATAAACAAAGAATGGTATGGGGAAATACGTACAGCGCAATAATATACTGTCCTAGTCTGACCACCAATCCTCGCGTGTCAGCTCATAACAAACATGCAGTTGTTCAGACCAAGTGTCAACAGCCTTGGAATTTCTTATTTATTTTACCTTACTCAAGATAGTATTAATCTAGCCTTATCATAATTTAAAATTCTTCTCATGTGTGAAAATAATTGTCCTTATTATTATAACATTTAAATTTTTTTTTATTTGAAAAGATTACCCAGATACGTAAAATCACTTTCACTCTTTTTTGGCTTGTGTATAAATTTGACTGATTTAATTTTAGATTAATCATGTCAGTAGTTATATCTAGTGTATCCTCTTAATCTGTCCACATCCTCAAAGTACATTCTACAACAGGCTACTTGTAAAAGTTCAGGTAGCGGTACTGGAAATTTAAATGTAATACGATCTTGTCTTCCTTTTATTGATTAAGTATTCTTGATTCCATGCTCTCTTTTATGAATGTCCTCAGGTTTCAACAGGTGATTTCAGTTATTTTGGAATAAATGCACTGCTACCATAACCAAAATATCTCAAATGCACTCTAGTTTTATAAAAAAAAAAAAAAAAAAAATAAGGTCATTGCCTATTAATAACAACAACCACTGATGGCTGGATACCAAAGAAGGTGGAAAATGACATTTAATAGAGTGGCCACAATTAAAGGTCCCAGCTATAAATAGGTCAAAAGAAGATCCTTACATTAAGCACTTACAACTTGGATTCTCCAAGATGAGAGATAGATTTTTTTTATCAGTCTATAATTAATGATTTGTTACATAATACTTGGAAGTTAACACAATCACTGGCTTATTTAATTATGAACATGTCAATCAATTGCCACATAAAATGTATAGGAAGGAATGAGTTATTAAATATTGACTTATGAGCATGGGTCATTAGATGTTGTTGGTATCATTATCTCTTATCACAGTAACATATCACCATCCTGGGTGATAAGGTGTTAACAGTGACCCTTATCTCTACCAAGATTATAACTTGTCACCAAAATGGGCAATAAGGTGCTAACAGTAGCCCATATCACTATCAAAATAACTTGTCATCAAAATGGGCAATAACAGTAGCCCATATCAGGATCAAGATATAGGCAATATATAAAGATGCTTACATCACCCTTATCTCTTCCAAGATAAATTATTATCGTGTGCAGGTAGTATAAACTTCAGTCAACAGGTGTAAAATGAAGCACACTACCACAGCAGTCCCCAACATCCACCCATATACCAAGTTATTCTCTAATGTGATCTGTTCATTATAGAGCGTTAATTGTAAATCTATACAGCACAGATCAAGCTCAGCTTTGACACTGTGTTTTATCGTCTGAGTCAGCCTGGTGTTTTACAGACAAGCTTTATGTGGAGATAATTGGAGTAATGCAGTGTAGGATAAGCAGCTATAAATCCTCTGTCCACTGACTGTTACTTGTGTCTTCTCTACAGACAATGATAATGATGCTACATTGATGTCCATGTTTGACATTAGACTTTCTATTTCTGTCTTGTTTGTTTCTCTTTTCCAACTTCCTTCTTCTCCTAGTAAGACATTACTCTGCCAAAATAGTCTGTTTTTTCCTGAATGTTTGCTAAATTTGGTCATAGGTTAATCAAAATAAACAGTGGCTTCAAATGTTCCTTCTTGAAGTTCAAGTAGATGAAATGTTTCCTAGTTGTGTTTGTTCTTATGGTCTAAGTGTGTCTTGTAATTTCCTTAGAATCCAAATATTTTTCTTATAATTTAGAAAAATTGTAAAATGACCTTGTTAACTTCGAGGAAGCATCATTACATATTGATATTATACAAGTAATCCATATTCAAGTGTTCCATGTTACATGTTTTGGAAAACTTCAGTATCAAACTCTTTGAAATAAGCAGTATACTAAATTCAGAAACAGAGAAAATTGTATTGATTCCTTACATCAAAACATCGAGTCACCAAGGTAACATGTAAATATGATAATGTGTACTCAGCTCAAAGGTTAAATCAGGCTTCAATCAGTTCATGTGTAAAATCATTCTATACCTGATAACATACTGAATTACTACCATCAGATGGGAAACTAAGACAAAATCCAAGGCACAAACTGGGGGAAATTCATGTGACCTTGACATTTTATTTTGGAAAGTATACATTATATATTGCTTATAAAATTATTTGCCAAGAACAAAAAGACAAACACTGCTCACTTAATTATGACAGCCTTCTACACAACTTGAAAATTAAAATAGAATCAATGTACTAAATAAAACCTTTTTTGAGAGTTCAACCAATGTCTCTAGTTGCTAAGAATGCTCAGAATAATATGCATCTAACACTTATAGATTTTAAAAGGGCACTGCACCTTTTTTTGCTTTTGAAAAAGCAGTATATTTTAATGAGGACCAATAAAGGGCATACTTTCCTACACATTAAACTTCTTTGTTGTAACATCATAAAAATGCTCTTTAACTATTTAATCTTCTAGCATTATCACACTTGCCAGAAATCTTTCCTGTGTTAGTGTTAAACGGGATTCTGATCATATGTGTAAAGTATGTCATATTTTTCCTTACTGTAAAATTTCCCTTTTAGGGACCCCTCACCTGAGATCTAATGGAAGAGTAACCAGTGTCTATGGAGGGAGCTCCTGAACGCCGGACTTGACCATGACCTTGACCAATAGGAGCGGTCAAGATTAAACGAAGACTTGTTGATCTCTCATTTTTATCCACTAAAGCAATGGCCATGTCAAGGTCATTTTGATTACAAACTGGAGTTTTTATCTGTAATAGAAAATAATTCAATTAAAAAAAATACCAGACGATTAATGTCTTCATATACATGTATAATTAGGTTCATTATCATATCCAAATTGAATTTGTGTCTGGTACATATTTGGATTCTTTACAGGTGTACTAACACATCTATTATACATATATTTACATGCATACCACATTCTGATAAATGAGACTCAAGTATGAAAATGTATGCAATTAAAGGTACATGTTTGTGACTTGTACCTATACACTGATGTTCATAAAAGTGCAACCATGTACAAATGTACTATAATTCACACAGGTTTTTAAAGTTATGTCTTCAATATTCATACTGTCATGACACTAAAATACTTAAAATATTGAAAATATCTACCTAATGTAGAGGCTCACATTATCATGTATCAGTGAAAACCTCTTCAGACATATGTTATACACAGAAAGATATAAAATTTAACCACAATACTATCAAATATGACCATCAAAATTTCCCAATACATTCAAAATCAGGGTCAACACATATTAATATCATACAGAAAAGAAGTAGCAAAACTGTGTCAGCTATGTAACCAATGAGATCCCCCGTGACTGCAGCTGATGACGGCAAACAATAATCTCTACCATATACGAAACCACTCACCCAAAACAACTTCAAATTACTTGTATTTTAAAGCATTATAAATCAATTTTTTTTAAATGCATTTGAATGTTTTATTAGCTTTTTTCACTAACTTGCATCCTTTACATGAATACTTTGATCATATTTTAAAAGCAATTTTTGAAATATCTTTTATTTTGTATTTCTCTCTCTCCAAAATCAGCTCAAGCATTTTGAAGTTTGATGAGAATTTTTACAAGATGTATCTATACCCTCTCTGTACTTAATTTATTTGATCTGATAAAAAACCCTTATGTTGTACATCATAATTTCCTGGGCAATTGACTGCTTTTAAAACACTTTGATGTAAGCAGTTTTACTTTAAAGATTCCCACAGCTATAATTAGAAACCAGTTGTGTTAATGCAGAATAACCTACCTCTCCATTTGACTGTGTGAAGACTATGTTCATATCAAATCCATACATCTCCCGAATCTTGGCACAAACGTCATCATATACAACAGGACGGGGCAACGTAACAACACTGAAGTATAAAACCAACAAAATGTCAATTTATTCCATATAATGCAATATTTCAGTGTGCACGTTATTTTAATGTTCTTTCATGTAAAATATAATTTCATTGGATGAGAAACTTTTGAAGAAGACATACATTTACCCTATATGATACAATTCATAGGTGATACTTTAAAACAAAGCATACATGTAATAGCAATAGTTCAAAATGGGTAAATTGTTGCCCCCCTCCAAAACCTTTAGCACTTTAAGCTTTCACTTCAATTGCCAAAGGTTTTCTGGGGGGGGGGGGGGATATTGGGTGATGTTTTCTAGAGTTTTGTCACATGAAGTATTCATATAACATTAATAAACTGCCACTGATAAATCTTTATTTGGCTTCTATGCTAATAGACTCACCGTTTCTCTCCCATGTAATCCAGCTTTATTTTCTGTCTATGACTACTGTGGTTTTTCTGAAAAGATTTTTTTTTTAAATCTTATAGAATTACAGAATTTGCTGGCATGTATAATGAATTACTGTAGACAAACTAGATAAAATATTTACAGAATAAAACTTTACGTCACATATCTATAAAATATAACATTTTCCCTTAATTAAAATCAAACAGAAATTTGCATATTATAAGTCATTCCTGAGTCATTTGTTTTAAAAAATGAAAAGTTTCCACCTGTTTCCTCTTACAAGAACCTGTGTAGCAACTAACTGAGCCTGTAATACCCCCTCCCCCAGTTCCCCTTACCCGTACGTTAGTGATGGCACTTTTGGCTGCTATTTTGCTACCCTGTTTTAAACCCCTTTCCAGCTGATTTCTCTTACCTGTAAGTTAGCAATGGCACTTTGGGCTGCTATTTTGCTACCCTGTTTTAAACCCCTTTCCAGCTGAGACTGGATGGAGCCCATCACAGCCTCTAAAGATGGCTGACCATCTGAAAGAACAAAATGGAATGCTGTAACAATTCATATTATTTATCACTCATTAGTGTAGTCTTATTAATCTATGTTACAAATGACTTTATCTGACTTGAACTTTCTATCTCTTGATGTGAGGTCCCCATTCCTGTTCTTTCCTTATAATTTATACTGGGTACTTTAGATTTCCCAGTTTCCCATTATGTGTCATCCCACATGTTTTTCTCTCAATAACTTAAAGTACCCCGGCGGTTCATAGGAGGTTGATACTGTGGCTGAAGAAGTGTTGAGTTATCTTGATAATTAATTAATGAATTTTAAACATTCAGTGGTGGACATAAATTTATGGGTCTCTTCACAGCATGAAAACAATGAAAATTAAAACGCCACTAAAACTGGTGACTTTATTACACAGTTTTATAACTTAATTGATTTTTGAGGTGTGTTTTTTTTTGTTACTGGCACAAACCATAAAAATTTACTTAAAGCATGATTTATCAAATCAATTGAATAAGTGAACAAAAATATGTCGTGTTTTCCTGTCCCAAACGTACCATTATTAATTATTATGCTTCCTGTCAGTTTGTCTCTATATAATCAATACCCAACTATTTTCGCATAGTGTTCTAAGGATTTATATAGCGTAAGCATACTATGCCGAAATAGTGCACGGCTGTCTTTTCTAGAGAAAATGTATTTAGCACCCACGCTGGGGATCGAACTCACGATCTCGAGAACGTCAGTCCAACGCGTTAACGATTACGCCACAAACACCGCTACTTTAGGGAATGTATTTTCAAGTATATAAACGTAGTTTTTATACATTTGTCACAAAACAAGAAATAAATGAATATAATTTCTATAAGACTGATATTATTGATTAGGATCTTAAAGAAAAATTCTCTAACAAATAATCGAATTTTTTAGTAACCAAAATTGCAACGTAACATGAACTGGTTCTTCGGAGTCAATAAAACGCTTTTTGATATAACGCTTGATCAAAGAATGTTCAAGAAAATTTTCATTTAGATTTAACGTCTGCAAACAGGTTTGGGATTGAGAATTTAATTAAATTGTCGTATACAAACAACAGTCAGCATAATAATTATAATAGTGTTATTATTTGGATGTACTATGCCGAAATAGTAGTCAGGGTTTGACACATAGTGCACTCGCCTCCGGCTCGTGCACCATGTGTCAAACCCTGACTACTATTTCGGCATAGTACATCCAAATAATAACACTATTATATAACTATTGTACTGTGGTTTTCTGGTAACAATGTATTCATTCATTTTTTAAGTAAGAAACATTAATGTTTTTCTTTGAATTACTATTCTCAGAAACTCAGAAAATTATTCCTTAAATAGTCTTAATAAACATGGAAAACATTTAAAAATGCAGATGGAAAAAATTATTAGTCTCGCACATGAAGAATGATGAACATATAAATAAAATGTAAATTTCTGGATCTTTCGATCTCTCAAAAGTTTTTAATTCAAACTTGCCTCTTTATCAAATAACTGGATTTGACAATTTGTCCAATAACTGAAACTTTTTCTTATACAATTGTTTAGATCATGACTCTTAGTTCTCATAGTGCTGAGGATACATTACCTCCTTTTTTTAAATTTTATTTTATCTTTGTGATATACAACTTTATTTTCTCTGACTGTATATATATATATATATATATATATATATATATATATATATATATATATATATATATATATATATATATATGGGAACTTTTTTTTTACTCTGCCTTAAATCCTTTAATAGAAGGTAAAATATTTCTAATCCCTGTTTAAAACTGTGTATCACGGCTGAATAATGATTCAATGTCTCTTGTGTTCACTATCATTCAAATATCAGTACTATCAACAAAATGCACCATGTCTGCATAGTATGCATAATTTCTTACCTACAAAATACTACATACTTTGTAGAATACTGATACACTTAGTCATAAGATATAGAAAATCTAGACTATCTGCATTGTTGCAGTCCCATGTCAGAAAAAAGACTGTACTTACCCATTTTGGGTTCTGTTATCTAAAGCTATTCATGGAGGAAACTTGTCATTATAACCAATCTGTAAAATCTTCATTTTTCTGTTTCTGTAAAAAAAAAAAAAGATGTTTACAATTAATTATTTGACAAGCAGAAGAAATATACATAAAACCAGCAATATTAAGATGATATAACAAACTAGCACAAAATCAACCTGCCAAATTAGTAGTGTGCTACATGTGTAGTTTCCATTAAAAATCTTGCTGTTCTGTATGCTGGCTATATCATTTATGGTTTTGAGAATTTGAGATTCTGATAAATATTGCACAAATCCCTGATACAATTGTCGGGTATTAGCATCCTGAAACAGGAGATCAATTGAATGACTTAAATACTTCCCCAACAGACTCAATCATACTATTAATTATAAAACATATTATACCTGCAGCTATTTAGTCCAAATAGCTTTTGATAATAAAAACATAAAAATAGATATCAACTCCTATTGTAACACATATATGACACAATTTCTGCACACTTTGTGGTGAGTCATCATTTCCTGTATAAACTGTGTTATGTTAACTATTACCTATTACATTTACTATTACATATTACAACAACAAATATTTTCAAATGTTACATATGAAGTTTGTAAACTAATCACATTATACCTCAAAATACATTCTCTGTTTATAAACAATGATTTAATATAAAAATGACACACCTTAAAGTTTTCCACAAAAATAAAAAGCCAGGGCAAAATATTTCTATAAATTGGAAGTTTTGTGATTTTTAAACAAATGTACCAGGAATTTTAGCAACAGTAATTAAATTAAATCATTCTAAATGTATATCTGTTTGATTACATACTTCTCTCAAACCATACAATAGTACATGAAGTACAATGCACATGGACATATTTACATATATAGATCTATATACAAAATACAAGGTCAAGTAAGGAAGTGTACTACAGTAAAACTCATTTAGTATAAACACAGATATATAGCAAATTTATGGATATAGCTAAGTTTTTAAGATCCCTGGCAAATGCTTATAAAATTTAATGGATATAATGAACACTGATATAATGAATTTACAAATATTAAAAACTGACTTTGTGTCTCATAGAGGTTACAAATAGTGACATTTAACAATACATCTTCTACAACAAATTTATTAAGATATATTATTTTAAGATATTGAACTGATATTGTTACATTTTAACTCACAAGTATTTATATTTTAAGTTCAATTCATCAGAAAACTTCAATACTTTTAGGTAAATTTTGTTGTATTTAATACTTTCTTGAACATATTTGGTAGTTATACTTGAAGGACAAATTATATTTAAGGAATCACTGTCTAGTTAGTAGAGTATGCCAGGGCATCAACGATGCCCTGGAAACGTGGGATAATTTGCCCAAAGGGTGAAGCCCTTTATGCATAAATTATCCCACGTTTCCAACTATCGTTGATGTCCCTGGCATACTCTACTAACTAGAGAGTGATTCCTTATATTTCCATTTCATTGTAAAATAAAATTGTAAATTTAGATCATGTCAATTTCAATAGACCCCGCCCACTGACGTCAAACACAAAGACAACCGCACAAGAATTACATGCATATTAGGCCTGCTTAGCTCCTGACCTTTCGCTTGGCGAAATTTGCATTCCGGTAGAATGATCAAGAAATCAACTCAACTAATTTTCAAAGAGTTATCACAGAGAAAACAAACAGAAATGGACATGTATATATGTACAGTTTGTGTAAAATCAGTAAGATCAAAATTGTTTTTAGCAATTTGAAATACACGTGTCAGTTACTTTCACATCATTGTAGCAGACTAACAGGACAGACTTTTATCTTTGGTTGTCTAATCCTTATTAGGTTTACGATATGTACAGCATACATCCTCCAGAGGTCAATGTTCCCCTTTCTTATATGCAAACCAATTACCATTTACTTAGTAAAATGTGATCTAGGGTTATGTTTACCTCTTTGATTTATCTAAAACATTCAGAAAAATGGGCAAACATTCTCAAGTTGTTTTTCATCAAAATGAATCTTTCTTTGATACAGGTGCTTGCATACAACAGCTGTATGCCTGGTTACGAGGCAGATGCTTCTGGCACTAAGGCCAGCCTTCATCTGCCACCAGCTCACCAAAATATCAAAACTAAGATTCATTTAGGATTTTTAAAAGATATTTCACACATGCAATTAAGTTCTCAAAATACTTAAGCCTGTGTAACAATGGAGAACCCTGCACCCACTCAGGTTTTAAGAGAAAATTAAATAGATGCCATACTTAATTTGTTTAAAAACCTTCAATGTATTTGTTCATTTGGAAGTGTGCTTGTGAGTTCACAAACTTAACTTCTACATGCACCTTCTGTACAACATCATATCAATATTTAAGATATGAAGTTATAGCACACCGTCCAAAATGAGTGTCAGATATGTATATCAAGCCATCCGCTCTGCACACAGAGGGAACTCAACATATTTGTTGAACTTTTTTTAACTTTGAAAAGAGGCAGATCTCACCATTCAGGAATCCCAAAATGAAAACCTAGCTTACTTTATCAACTCGGACAATTTTCTAGGCTTGATAACTAGATTACTTCTTTAGAATAATCAGACAATATTCTAAAGACTTTAATGTCTGATTTCACCACATTTAAACCATATTACATAACTTCTATATGAAAAAAGTTATTAAACCTGCAATATTCTATGGCCCCTATTTCAAATAGCCAAACATAATAGAATGCTAGGAATTAAAGATTTCTAATAGGATTCTCTCCACAAGTCCATCTATATAGGAAACAAAAGGACGTCTAAAGAACCCGATCTAAAAGGAGGTCACCTGTATTCCCTCTGAAAACGTTACACAAACTGATACACAACTGACAAAACGTCCCAATCCTGATATTGGTGATTAGTGCACTGAACGACTTCTTAATTTTAAAGAAACTGATATAGACTAAAAAATGCATTCACAATTGATTGGAAAAAGACTCCAATTCTGAAAATATGTGTAAACAGTTTACAAATTTGACATTTAAATTGATATAGTTTCTTCTTTGTTGTGATGGTGTCTGTGTATTGAACATAAAACCAGGCTAATGAAAGGGTTAGAAGACAATGCAATAATACAAACATTCTACTGGTTCAGTGAGTTCATAATCGGAACGTTTCACTGAAATAAAATACAGAACACGAGAATTAATCCATCTGTCATTAAATCATGGTCAAATGAAAAATAAATCTTAAAATGCATGACAATATATTGGTAAAAGTTTGATGCAGCTTACTACAAGGGCAGATTTATTCTCAGCAACCATTTTCAAGTTTATACTTCCTAAACTGTACCTAGCATTTTTTTTATCAGGTATTTTAGTGCTGAATGTAAATATTCTTATAAATATCCACCTTACGACCACACCATCATGTTTTCTTATCTAACTAATCTTTGTGATTTCTTCCTACCCAATTGCAAGTGTAACTGGATTAATCAAGCAAATATCTATCACTGATATATCATCCATATATAAACCAAAACTTGTGTGGACATACATCATATAACATATAAGTAACACAACAAATGCTGGGGTCAAAGGAACTGGATCGATTGTTTATTTGGAGGGGGGGGGGGGATTCTTAGGTTAACAGAGAGTCTCACAATCTGTGGTATGAATTATTCTCAAGAACAAAATCTTGTTGCATTAAATGTTTCACAAATTACAAAATTAATGATATTGTACCAAGATGTGAGAATTCAACTTGCACATAGCTTTAATGGATTTTTGGTGCAATTGTGTTTAAAATATTCAGATAATCCTTTGCATCAAACATGATAAAAAGTATCCTGCAAGTCTGCTTAAATACTGATAACACTTTGTAGTTTTTTAACTTCAGATAAATGTCAAGGACAATCAAAAATTGGCTGAGCTACTTATTCAGGTCTGCCCCGATATATCAACAGTAAATAAAAATTAAGATGTATACGACTATGTCCTGAACTTGGTTTTATTTTTTATGATTTTCCTAAAAAGAAGAGACAGAAGCTGTCGTTTCTGTCAGACTCCTATGTAAACTGCCTTCATATCCTAATTATCACAAGTTCAATGGCTTCTGGCTAGCCATCTGTATGCAGTTTATAATCTTAATACAGGCATAAAAAATGTACCAAATTCACCACTAGCCCTGGGCAGACAGAAGAGAGCTCCTCTATTGCACACCATATTACAGTATATAAGATCTCTTTGTTTACCTCACCAGTACTAACACACAGAAATGACTCATGTAGAACAACCAGAGAGACAAGAAAACCAATTAATTCCTGTCACACATGTAAATAACAACATGATTAATTATATACATCAACAAACATCAACACAATCTTGTCAGATTCAATTTTAATAAAATTCAAGTAGCTTATTTAATTGACTTAAACATCTATATATGTCACTGATGACTCATTATGTAGGTACTCCAAGTTCAGCATTCAACTTGCAGACTGCCTTGATGCAGTCAAAGTCTCAATGAGGCTTTATAAAGTGTCAATTCTCAATCAAGTGTAATCAAGTTCCAGACTTTTAAAACTAACAAAAAACTTTGAATTCCTGCTTCCTGTGTGTTTGCACTCATGACTTAATGATATGCAAAATTAAATGATTTCAAAACTTCCTCTCATATGACACAGCAAAAAGCAAATCTCCACTTTTTTTTTTACATTTTTTCTATCACACAGTTTTAAAGATTTGCTAAATGCTGAGGTCACTAGTGAGTATCGTAGCAAAACTAATCCTAACAATTTTGGCACCAAAAAAAAAAAAAAAAAGTGGTACTGTAAGCACTAGGCTCACAAAATGATAACCCTGCTCCCATACGAGTCAGGCCAACTTTAAAATAATGTTTGTTTGGCCTCTCCAGAGTCAGGATAAAAAAAAATCAGATAGGTACATTATATTTTATTTCAACACCAAAGCTGAATTTTCAAAATCTATTTTCCGGAGAAAAAAAAAATGTTTCCTGGAGGTTAAAAAAAGTTTTGAGTCAGGCCATTTTTAGCCAGTTATTCGGGAGAGGGCAACCAAATAATTTTTTAAAGATGGACTTATGGAAAAGTCCATGTTTTAATTGCTTTGGGAAATCCTGAATAAGTGTCGGATTGAAACGCAAAATAGGAGATGCACAATGGCATTATGCAATAAAGATTCTGTGAAAGTCTCAATAAATTTTATTCAGTGGTATAGGCCAAAAGTGTATTTGGGTTGCGGATAAGGGATGGTTATACTTAAGTGTAACATATGTAAAGACTGACACCCTCATCACTACATAGCCCCATTTTTTTTTAATTGGGGGGAAAATGAAGAAAAAACATTACCAGTATATCACTTTGTTCATAGCAGTTAAAAAGACTTAAAATCTAATAAAAGTTAAACTGCCTTAATTTACTATTTTTATCCTTTTTCAAACATAAAAAATAAAGTGATGGTGATATAAATTTCAAATTTGTTTTTATCTTCTGGGTTTTCTTTTTCTTCCTATACTTTTTTGCAGGTAAATTAACATACAAAATAATACTGAAATAAAGTAATCTGGTTTAATTTATTTCAAATTTAACACACACAAAAAAGAGATAAAAATCTGCTTGACGGAAATGAACAGTTCAAAAGTTTCAAGTGGTTGCATGTAAGTGTATTATGTTTATTTTTTTTTTTTAAATTTTCACTTGAACATTTCCTTGCAATAATTTTTTTATTAGGTCTAAAAACTGGTGAAAACACTTACAAATAAATCAAACAGAAAAATGAAAGTATAATTACTGGCCAAATAAAATGCTTCAAACATAAATGACGGGTCACTTCAGCAAAGGACTTTAAACTTGATGTACCAGGTATTTGTGTATTTATTTTTACTATGTTGACATGATATCATGTTAACCCCATACTTTTACTGACAAAGTGATCTAACATCTTTCAAAATATAAATCACAGAGTCATATGGCAGATTTTAACAAATACAGCTGCTCCATTTTTTTTAGAATAAGAATAATAGATAACACAATCAAGACAAAATTTCCTCCTTAATTTTCATCGTCGCAAGCCACGGGTTTTGTGTCCATTCTATTTCCGTTTGTGGAAATAGAATGGACACAAAACCCGTGGCTTGCGACGATGCTTAATTTTCTACAATTACAATAATATTTCTGCGTTGTAATTTGTCATACAACTAGTTTGAATATCCATACACAACATTTTAAGAGAGATGCATGATAATTTCTTGACTGAAATACAAATTATGAAGAAATCATCATTCCGCTTACCTAATACTTCTGTTGTCATTTAAAAAAGAAAGGAATACTTCTAGAACTCGCAAATTACATCACACGACCACCCCCGCAAAATGCCACCAACAGCACAAATCTAACAGGATTGACACTATAAAACAATTCAACTTAAAATACTAGTACCAGTATAATGGCTATTAAAACCCTATAACGGTATGGCAACATGGAAACACTGAGATGTTATTTACATGTGCTCCTTTTCTCCTCCTGTTTTCGTCTTGACTCCTGCATACTTTATATGGTCACCCTATATTTTTGGAGAAGACAAACCCTTCCTAAGATGTATGTCCTGTCTATGGTCCTCCGAATGAAAACGCGTGGGAGGACCCTACTATTAACAGTAAATCTCTGTACCATGTCACACTATTTACTACCATATCTACCTGTTGGCACAATCTTTAACATTTATGCGTGACTTCGATGTTTTTACTGACAGAATGCTTCAAATTCCTAGTTATCTAAAAAATATTCATTTCCTAAAGCTAATCACACATATGCAAAACATTACATGGAGGATAACATATAAAGCATGCACCCCCACCTCACCTTTCTTACAACTGTTTGTTACATTTATACTGACTATTCTAATAAACAGAAGCTGAACATTCTAGAACACTGTAACAATAAAAAAAAATTCTTTATAGCTTTAAAAAAGGTATACATAACAAACAAAGAAACTCTGTATACCTCTTCACATTTGTAAGGTAAGTGCAACATAAATGTCACTCACTAACAATGATTATCCAGGTTAAAATGAAAAAGAACTAAGTCACCTCTGAAAATTTAATTAAGACCATTCTGAGTTCTCTCTAACTAGCATTAAAAAATTACATTTATTGCAAAATATATGCAAAGTTGCTGTACACCCAAGTGTCACCAATACGATTTGTTTTTACACATTTTTAGCTAGCTTTGTTTTAAATACAATTAACACATTTTAAAACTTCCTCATTTTGACCCCCAAAGCAGAATAATGCTGATTACACTCAAAAACAAATTCAATTACTTTTTTAAAAAATGAATTCACTATCAAGTTTTCCTGCAGAGAATGAACTTTTACATTTAATGCAGATGACCATGCATGTATAAAAATAAAATGACTTACACAATTCACTTACATGTGTTGATATAAATTTCGTATTTACCACTTTCAAATTAATATTGGTCAGATCATATATTGTCCAAAGACAAGGTTTTACTATGTACAAACACCAACTGTGACATAGTCTTAATTATGATTTTATAGTCCAAACTATGAAAACTAAACATGCAATTATGCATTAAGATTAATCGTTGATTTCTTTTTTAACCTGCCTAATGTGACTCAAAGTTCTCTGTAATTGATTAACACATTATTTTATTTTTGTGAAATGGGTAGTTTCCAGGGTTGAATACACAGACTCTCCATTATCAGGTTTGCAATTATTTTCAAAACAAAGCCTCAGTATAATCATGATAATGCATACTTCCAACTACCATGATTTCTACACTGTTGTAATGAACTGATCAACTTCATTGTCACTTACAAAAAATATTAACCAAATATATAAATTTCTAATTGAAGTATGAATTTCATTCAACAAATTATCTATACCTCATGTGAGTTTTTCAGTTATCTATTCCATTTGACATGATAATAAACTATATAAATTTGAATAAAAACATGGTAGAGACAAATAGTACACATTGGTGGCTTTTGAATTCTTTGTCACATTAGCATAGTTGTCATTAAGACCCAGGGCCAACCCCCATTATTCTGGTATCCCCCTCTACCCCCTGTTCAGGAAGGAACCTCAAACCCCCTTTTACTTTTCTAAAGTCCCCTGCTACATGAATTCTTAGGGACAACCCTGCATTAGGTGTCAAAATTGAATTTCATTGACATCTTAACCATATTCTTCCCCTAACTGAGAGGACCGTTTTACATCACTCTATAATCATCATCTGGACACGTGTGTACACCAAAACACAACACACGCACAAAAATCATACAGCCATGTATATACTGTCTACCTATAATGACTAATAAAATCCATAGTCTCTTAGTTTCTTTTAAATTCGACGAGAAATTCTTCAATACAAGTTTCTTCATTTTGGTATATGGTAAATACTGTATCAATGTGTACAGCCACAGACTGACCCAGATTCTTCGTTCATAGATGCCCTACTTTCCGTCTTCCAATCATAACGATACTACTTGTTCTCGATAACTATTTATACATGTGTTAACACCTCATGAATTTATTCCCTAGTAATCAAACATTTTGTTGTACGACTGAACACAGAGTTAACAACCACATGACAGTTTACTTAAGTGCATAAAAAGTTCGAAAACTTCAGAAAGGGGAATTCAATATCGCCTGATGTCAGTTTTAAGGAACAAACACCAAACTAACACTAGACAACAATTAACTACACTACTATCAACAGTAAATAACTACTTGTCACTTCCTAAATAATGATTAATCGTTTTAGTTTCTATACATATCGAAAAAAAACATAGTCTGCATGCATTACCTTCATTCTTAGGATCCTGTGTCAGCCATGTTTGATGACGTCATATCAGGTAATCCCGAGTAGTGTGTATTGAAAAGAATGCTTGTCGACAGGTGTCGCCTTTGTGTAAATTTCCCGTACTTTTTAAATTCAAGGTAGCTCCCTTCATTTCATACTTTCTGAGATTCATATTGTCCTATGGAATTAAGTAGTGTGTCTCTAATTAAAAGATGCATAATTTGTAAATTCTACTTTCCTGTTTTTAAATATGCGAAGTTCGGACTTGATTACACTTCATTCAATATATCTATTTGCTATCATCCTGTCCCGTGATTGACCCCCCCCCCCCCAATTTTAATTATTATTTTCATAATTATTATTATTATATATATTTTTAAAATTTCATTTATTTATTCTATTTTATTTTATTATTTATTTATTTATTTATTTATTTATTGCATTCAATATCTATGATTCCAAACGCTGTTATTCTATCTGTCACACACTATCTTCTTCCTCAAACTCCTTAAAATACATTTTCAGCAGCAGCCAATTCATCATTATATAAAGCTTCCGGATTTTTTATTTTTATCCTGGGATCCAACTGGGGGGGGGGGGGGGGGTCGAAAAACGATTTCTACAAAAGCTTGGATTCCAGAAGTAAAACATTCACCGTCTCTTGGAGAAGAGTGCTTGTTTGATGCCCTCTCGGGAACATTTTCAATATTATTTCAATCGGATTCTTAACTTTCCATCTACTCAGTTTTCAGTTTTATATTTTAATTCTTCTATTTCGAATCACTAACTTCACATATTAACATATACTGAAGATAGAAGGTTATTCTGCATAATAAGTGTTTCTATCTAGTGGATCAGATATTTCTGTGCATAAAGTCTATTTAATCAGTATATCAGAACAAGCATTACTGAAAACAAGAGGCCCATGGGCCTTGACGATCACCTGAGTATCATGAGTTTCTCGGGCTCTGACCACTTTAGCCCCACTTGGAACTGGGATTCTAGATTCGTCCGACAAAACTTTTACAGTTTGGTGAGGACCCTCCTATCAAGCCAATTAAGGTCCGGAGTCCCAAATCGCTCTCTCCAAAATGGAAGAGGATCGGTTATTTTAGCCCTGGTTTGCGACGATGAGTGAGGACTCTCTTATTAATATCATATTCATGCAGCTAAAGAAGATAAGGTACATACTGGAACATTACTTTTTTAATCTTTATAGAGGGCTATAGCCGCTCATATTCATACAGAAATATTGCCTGCTAGAAGTCCGTGGATAAATAAAGAGGATTTTCAAAGATGTAATGTGCTTTCAATGTACGAGTATGACCACTTAGTCTCATTCTGAGCCTTAACCATGGACCAGGGGCGATGAATTTTAAGTTGAGGGCTAATTGTTTATTATAATCATGCATTTTTTTCCCCAAAGAGATGCCTATGAGTAAAGGAAATTTTCAAATTTAGTGTAATGTATTTTCAAAACATGACCACCCTAGCTCCATGCTGGAGCCTGCATAAACCATGTACCCGAGGGTCGTGAATTTCACGATTCTTGTAGAGGGCTAAATATTTATCATAATGAAAAATGGTCTGCTTGCTTAATGTCCAGTTAGTAGATATGACGATTTTGAAATATGTCTTGTAAATGTATTTTCAGTATATCACAAACTAATCACCACTCTAGAGCCTGAACCATGCATGGGCACAGGAACCATGGATTTCACATTTTTTTAAGTTGAGCATTCTATAAGGCAAATAATTTGCCCATTAGATGTTCTTTTAAAAAGTAGAGGATTTTCAAAGACATATTTTCAATTTATACACCAGCCCCACCCTTAGGTCTGAACCCTGACCCAGGAGAAATGAATTTCACAATTCTGGTGAAGGGCTCGTTCACAGGCACCTAACATTATTTATCAATAAAAAATATACCTCCTGCCTAAATAATTATTTTGGTAGGGGTATATATTTTTTATTAAAAGAATAAAGAATTAAAATAAATAACGTCAGGTGCCTGTGGACTCGTTGTTCATTGTAATCATGCCAACAATTTAAAGGCTAGTGACAAATAGTTTGATTTTATAGGGCTTTCAACAATGTCGTTTCAACTTCATTAATTCTATTGTTGTAATAAAACCTTGTTTGCAAGTATAACTGGGTCGTCTTTTTAACTAACATGTTAACAATTAGGTCGTTGTGTAATACCAAGTATGACTACGGATTGATCAGGTAAAGCAGAGAAATAACAGAGGGCTCAAGACGAGTACCGGTATGAGGTCGACAGGGCATGCCTGCTTCTCTTAGGCACCTGATCCCACCTCTGATGTTTCCAGGAATCCGTGTTTTTGCCCTGATCACGATTTGTATTGTTTACAGGATTTAAAAAAGTTTTAATTTTAAACAGGATTTATGAGATTAAACACTGTTCGTTGTGTTCACTTTTTTTTTCCATTAAACTTCTCGATGTCCAAGGGTTAATAAAATTTTCGAAGATTTATTTATTTTTGGCAGTTTTTAGCCCAATCTCTTTAGCACCAGGAGTACAACAATTTGAAATCTAACATTTAACTTTCTCTCATCCTAAAAATGCTTCATACCAAATTTGAAGGCAATTGGTCTTGTAAACCAATAGCAATATATAGGTCACTCGAGTGACTCAGGTGACCTAAAAAGACTTTGTACAGCATTATAGATCAATAAAGCAAACAAATATCATTTAGGTATTTATTTCCAAATATTTTTATTATTGATGCAATCAGTGGCTTATAGAGATTTGAGTAACTTCGAGCATGGGTTGGGTCATCATTTGTTACAATAAAAGTGCATCCATGGAGCCAATCCGAACGCTACTCTTGGACTACTTTATGCTTCCTGGATATCATCTGGCATTTTATTTATTAAGAAAAAATGCACTTTATCACAAAACAAAACTCTTCGTGTAAAAAGAAATTTCAAAAAAAAAAAAAAAAAAATCACGCCAGAAAAAAAGGCGGCATGCTGTCATTATAGATTTCTATCTTGGAAAATATTTTGAACTCGGATAATGCATGACATTGTCAACATTTTTAAACGCAGGGTTTTTCTTTTTAATTCCGTCTGTTCTTAAATCCACTGATCAAACTTGTTTAAGAGCGATCTAATTATCAAAAGGGCTCCCCAAATATTTAGATAACCCGTGTTTGTTGATCGTATAGTCGAGACAAAAAGGCAGGAGAACCCGAATTCAGACAAAGTCACCTACACACACGCGTATATACAGTGTATATATAAAAGTGTACATTTATTTTTTCATATATTTTTCACCAATACGACATAATTTTATTGCCGATATATTGACACAAAATAGCGGTCGGAAAAGGGGGGGGGGGTGTTGGGTGTAATCTCCAGCCCCAGTTTAAAAAGAGCACGTCAAGTCTTTTTTTTGAAACAAATAAAGAATTTTTCATAGTTTCAAATGAAATGCTGCTAATTTTTTATTAATTTATTATGTAACTTCAAGAATGCACCATAACCCACCATTTCCATTTTAAAGAGAGCGTGTCAAAAGTATTATTTTTGAAACAAATAGATTTATTTTTTCATAGGTTTAATGAAATGCTGATAGATTTTATTTATTTTTTATGTAAAAATGATTTCATGAATGCACCAAAACCCACCAAATGATACCTATTCATAAAAAAATATTGTGACTCAGAAGAGAGGTACACACCTCTCAGATCCTCCCTGCACCCCTCTTTCCAGAAAGATGGCGAAGGTCCTGTCCCCGCTGATGGTTGTCATTGGAAAGTGACATGTATGCTGCAGTAATGTTTAGAATGAAATACAGCAAACGCGCACAAGGAAAGTGATATGGAAAAATCACTCATATATATGTTTGTGAAAATTCCTACTATTAAAGAAACATACATACAGATTAAGCAATTCAGGCCCGTAGGAAGCAAGTTCAGTTTGGGGTATAGTGGTCTTTCTCTGTTTCTGCACAAAATTTGAAAACATTACGTTGAAAAACTGTACAAATTTGGAGAAAAAAAACTGTTTGAGTTATCGTGTGACAATGGGCATACATACAGATATATACATAGACAGACAGACAAAGCTGCATGTCCCAAAAAATTATAGATGCACGTCTTTCTCATATCTATACATATAAATTAATAAATTTTGCAAATAAATTCCGAAACGGGTGAACCAGAGTTCTTGCTTACTTCTCTATGAATACACTAGATAAAAGATGATGTCCGTAAACTATATTCAGATTTCACTCGATTAGTAAGTACCGTGCATTAAATTAAAAGTTTATTTTCATTTTCTATAAACAGCCCTGAAATGGCAAAAACGTGAGTACGATGGCGGTTCCGCTTGGCGGATCTAAGTTATATACTGGCAATTTTTAATGGAACTGACAACAAGCAATCGTTTATTTATTTCATAAAACGTCATCACTGAATTATTCAATCAAAACTTGATTTAAATGATATAAAAGAAATAATCTGTGATAACCAACTTAAAAGGGAAATCTGCAAATTATTATCGTCATTCACCGATCTTAATATTGACGGAAACTTCTAGAACATCATGATATAGCATCGAGTCCGATGTTAAAAAGAAAAAGCTGCGTGAACATAAAAAAAGCTTTTGCATGGCCGTAGGAACCGGGGGGGGGGGGGGCACGGGGGGGGGGCGTGCGCCCCCCCCCCTAATAATTTTGCCGATATATAGATTACTATAGTAAAAAGAGCTACTATATGCTTGTGCCCCCTCAATAAAAACGTCTGATGACCTTTTTTTTTTTTTTTTTTTTTTGCTTTTTTTTTTTTGCTTGTCAAGGAATTTTTGGTTGATAGTGCCCCCTCAACTGAAAATGTATGGCTGTGCCCCCCCCCCCCCAAACTGAAATTGCTTCCTACGGGCCTGTTTTGTGTCACTGAAATAATGGTATATCAATGATAACACTCAAAGTTGCGAATATGTTTATATATCGAAAGACTATTAGTAGGTTTTCCTAATAAATTAATCGGTAAAATTTGTATATTCCTCACTGAGAGCATAGTGGCAACGAACCCAAAGTACAATTTGTACTTTGTAATAAATTTGCATTAATGAAAAGAGAAAGTTAATGAATAAGGTATTGTTCAAATACAGTTAATTAAATCTGTTGAAATTTTGTGCTTTAATCAATACATTTCAGTTTTTGTTTCTGTTTTTTTTTTCTGATTACAGTCTTTTGTATCAATTGTAAATACACGGACTATTCATAGGGCGTTAAAAGCTAATCTTTACCCTCCCCCCCCCCCCAAAATCAATTTATCATTAAAATGTGCATATTCGCTGCTTTTATCCTTGAAGAAAATGAAATAAGAGCACCTGAAAAACAATATCTATAACATAGTATGACAGGTTTCACAATAATCGTCAATTAATGAAATTGTTATTTTCCAAGTTTTTACAAAGGGGTGGGGGTGGGGGGTGGTGACGTATATCTACAGTTACTTCTGCTCCAAAGCAAAATACGGGATTTTGAACAAAGTATTTCTTCCTGCTAGAAGCCTGTAGGCTGTCAGTAGAAACTACAGAATATATTATTGGAATTTTTCTGTCGGCAGTGGTATAAATTCAATTTCCCGCGCTTGCGCGGGATTTCAACTAGTTGTACAAATGGGAAGGCCTTATGAGTTACCGCGTGACAGCAAATGTGTTCACAGACACACAAACAATGTGATTCAGAGGACTAAAGACTTGCCCATTCACTTCTCCAATAAAAGCCCTTCTGTTCTCAAAAGATTTTCCTCCCAAATATTTACTTGTAAAACTTTGAATTCATAGACCACGGTTTGAAAGGACAATTTCACTGCATGGTGTTGCTGATATTAATGTGACTTATATACCCCCGGTATTTCTATGGAAAACTTTGACCACTTTCCTGTGGTTCCACCTTGGGGTCATGATTTGAACAATCTTGAATCTCTACTCATAATATAGTATAAATTTGATTTTGTCTCTTATAGCCTGACACGGACCTCTAAAAACAGAGGTGGGATCAAGTGCCATGGAGGAATAACCATCCCGGCCGACAGGTCACACCCATCATGCGCTCCCTGTCATGATCTGGCGAACAGAAAAATCCGTAGTCAATTCAGTGTGAAAATAATGACCTAACAGTTTGTATGAAAAACGTATGTCAACATTCGACCACTTATTTGTCATTATACTGCCTCGTTTTAGAAATTGTTCGCACGTAGAACATGTTCTGGAAGACATAAACTCCATATGCAGGTGATAATGGTATATTGCTAGCCTACATAAATAAGGGAAATTGGATGATGGAAAAGTTGAAGTCATAACGTTTATCATGAAGTTTAGTTAAGGTCTTTCTCAAGTAAAACATCCAAACCTGAAACAGATATACCCGCCTCTGTGGTATCTTTTATTTCGAGTTCAATGGGATATTTCGAATCAACATAATATTGTTAACTGATAAAACGTCGTCGATGTATCTAAATGTCGAATGAAGGCCTAAGCAAGAGACTTCTTCTTTTCATGTAGAGGTTTTAGAATAAATTCTGCTTCATATGAATACAAAAACAGGACTGCTGATAAATGAGCACAATTAGCACCCATAGAAATCCCAACAGACGATTGTTGGCAGGCCTGGTCTCTGAAAACCACCTAGATAAAACTCAAGCTCAACCTCGAAGTACTTTTATCTAGAATCAACATGATATTTTTTTTTACAAAATAAGTTTGAAGATGGCCAGTAACAAGGTAATCAAAATGAGTTCCAATTTTATGAAAGAAGCAGTTGTCTATGATTTAATTGTTTGCATATATAAAAAGTTGACTGAAAAGTCGTACGTTTCGATGCTATTGATTCTAGGAAAATTTTGTGATTTCAATTTTGCTCTAAAAGTTCTCGAATATGATATGACCACAGAGAATCTGCCCTTAACAACCCTGCATACACAGCACACTTAAGAGTTCTTATTCCATGGTAGAGTGATCTACCCTTAGATCTACAGTGAAATAAATTAAAATCTACAGAATATTTCTCAAATTTTAGTCAATCCAAGTATTCTAAACATTTCATTAGGCCTCAGTGAATTAATTGAACACTTTCTCTCATTTAAGTATGCAACAGTGATTTCTGTTCATCTTTGGTTTTTGAACATTTTTCCATGGGGTAAATGGCTGGTACCCATGTTGAAAAAAAAAGATTAACTCAATATTTACATCTTTATACAATACATGTATTAACTTTGTCAATGTCCAGAAAAAAACTTCACTAGTGTATAAAACGTCTTTAAGTGACTAAAAAAGTTACAGTTTGGTGAAGACTTAATTTAATCATTATCATATTCATGGAACTCGTCTCCTAGTAGACAAGGAGTAAAGATGATGATGTGCACCACATAATAAATTTCAAAATATGATCAACTTAACCCCATACTGAGGCCATTTTGCTAGACCCATGGGATATGAATTTAATCATATCAGTATATCATCTACTAATTACAATCATGCAAACATTTTGCCTGCTAGATGTCCATAAATATACTGTAGAAAAATTTCACAGATGTAATGGAAGAAAAAGTGAGCAAGCTCACATACCCAACGCTCCCCCAAAACTTGACAATGCAACACATAATGAATGGCATGCTGCACTTTAAATACAAAGTACAATTCAAAAAGGGGCATTACTTGCAAAATACATTGTATCATCACATCAAAACTTCTTATAAGGATATGTATATAAGGACATTCAAAAAAATAATGGAATCGGAATTTCCTGGAAATATGCACAATTACACACTGTGTCCTAAATATCTGCAAAGTTTGACAAAATTCTGTGTAGGAGTTTAAGAGTAGTTGCGCTGACAAACTGTTCATCTTTATATTCAAGATATGGCCATTTTGGTAGGTAATAAAATTTTACCTGCTAGATGAAGTATATTTTTAACACTGCAGTGTATTTTCAATGTATGACTAACTTAGCCCCTCGTTTGTAGAGGGTTCATGGCTTTATACAAACATGCTAACAGTTCAACATAATGTCCAGGACTTTAAAGTTTTGATGGTTTTGGTCCCCCTCCTCAAGCCACAGGAAAGCAGAGATAACAAAATTAAAGATTTTTATTTCCTTTACACAAAATTACCAAAACTGGTTAAAATTGCATCTGTCATTCTAGAGAAGCTGAAATTTTTAAAAAATTTACAAGTGATGGACCTAGATGGACAAAAATAGAAAACAATAGGTCACCTGAGAGACACAGTCATGATTTTAAAGTTTATTCCATGACTAAACACAGAAAGCATCTAATAGTCCAACAAACAACAAAACATGATCAAGTATTGGCATCATTTTACTTCCAAATCAAAAACAAATTCTTTCTAATTACCACATTCATCCAGACATTTCTTTCGTGTCATTTTTCTCAGATCTAAAATAATTGTTAATTATTTCTTTGATTCCAGCTTCCTTTTTTTAAACAAAGTCTGTTCCACTGATACAATTCTTTCACAATGCATTCTATCTTATTTAATAGTGAGCATTATAATTTCACATCTTATGGTCATTTACAGAGCTGCCAACTTTATAAAATGAAAAATCGTAACTAGGAGGTCCAGAGGCCGCTTAGACCCGCGACCGCTAGATATTACTTTGAAATGATTTAGATCACAATTAGCATAGAGATGGACGATAGCAATACAAACATGCACTGTAAGTACTATAACTTTTGTATTATAATGGTGAAAACTGATGGAGGACAGCTATGAAATACTAGTATTTCAAATGTTTGACGGAGAGAAATGGAAATCGTAAGGATAAATAAATAAATCGTAAGGGTTGGCTGCTCTGCATTTACTACAGAAAATACATCAGTATGTGTTTTGTGACTGAATAAAACATAGCAACTTTCCACCTGTTAACATAAGATGCATGAAAGTTTTGGGTATATAAGGCCTAACATAAGAAATTGTTTGTTTGCAGTTGCCTACTGACACACTTAAATGCACCCAACCCAAACTTTTTTCCCAGTCATTTTTTGAGATTATTTTTTTGGTGTAAGTTTCAAGTTTTCAGGATATTAAAACCATTTCATTTTTTATTTTATCAATTGGTGACTTACAATAAGTGGAGCTTATTTACATTTAGTAACCCTTTGAAAATCTCTATGATTTTTTTATCCAGCAAAAACCTGAAAACTAAAATCTATTTTTTTTTTCTAGGGAAAAAAAAAAAAAAAAAAAAAAAAAAAAAGAGATACATACCTACCTACCCACTCTAAAAATTATAGATTGGCAACTGCAAACAAAGAATCTTTTAAGCTTGCCTAATGTACAGTCACCTCATAGGCCCTGTTTACTGCAAAATGTACATACATATCAGTTTTTGTCCATGTTGTAAATACTTGGTTGTTAAAATAAATACACATTCATCAGTCTCCTGTGTAGTCCTAGAACTCCATTGTCATATCTGTGATGAGATGAAAGAGAAAACAAATATTTTTAGTCTTACATTTCAGAAATCTATCTGTAACAGCCTATCTCAGCATCTTTACCAATTTAAAATTATGGCTTTTAACACCTTATAAAAATACAGCAGAAATTTGAATATGACTCTAAAAACCTTCATAAACTTTTCTTATACATTCAATTAGCGAATTATCTCTCTTAGATTCATCACTATTCTCACAGTAATGCCATATTTTTCCACAAATGTCTTTCCTGCTATATAAAATTCTCTTGGCTAAATTTGTATACCACCATGTTTTCATCATAAATCATTTCAAAGTGTCAATTATCTCTATCGACTGCCATGGGTGCATGTGGTCAATGAAAAAAAACAATTTTCTTTTAAATGAACTGTTTCCTGTTTAGCTGGTTTAGTCATGGCTTGGCCATCAAGGTGGATGTTGTTTAAGTCCGAGGACAATGATATTGGCTTGACAATCTCACTTAAATAGATGAGAAGTCAGCTTTCACAGTTTTGATACATTATTGAAAGTTTTATCAATGCAGCCATGATAGATAAATATTATTTAATCACAAATATTCATTTTAAATACTACCACCAGGTATTAAAGTACAGACAGTAACTACTGGGTAGCTTTTTTGAATAATGTTTGTTTTCACATGCATTTACATGTGGGTACTTTCTAACTCTGTATTTTGATATATAATGAAATAATTTAAGCTGAAATTCCTTCAAAATATTCCCAAATATGCTTTAAAAATATTGAGAAAATAAATACAAAACGTTTATATTTTTATTGCAGGAAAGGTAACTCTATTTCATATACAAACTAGAAATATATATCCATAGAATGCCCTGTCCAAGGTACAATGCAATATGAAAATATATATCAATATATTAAGTTTCATGAAAATGTCTTGAATAGTTTCTTTAAAAGTTAGTTTTATACACAATAAACAGTAAAATCAAAGCTCATTGGGAAGGTCAAAGTAAAAAATTAAATAATGGCCACAGTTGGTAAATTCTCCCCAAATTATGTATCAATGCATAAGCTTAAATGTGTTTTTTGAAACTGAGGCAAAATTAATAAAATGTCAAGGTCATACATTTTGAACACAGTTGATTATTTCTCACTAATATAAGTATATGTTTAGATAAAAATATCTTGAATGGTTTCTTTGCAACTCATTTAAACACAAATTTAAGAAAAGTGAGGTCAAGGTCAAAGGGAAGACCAAGTTAAAAAAAATTGATGCAGTTCAACAGCAATCAACAAAATGTACCAGCATATGAAGTTTGATAAAAATATCTTGAATAGCTCCTTTGAAACTGAGCTAAACACAAATTTAAGAAAAGTGAGGTCAAGGTCAAAGGGGAGGTCAAGTTAGCATATGAAGTTTGATAAAAATATCTTGAATAGTTTCTTTAAAACTGAGCTAAACTCTACGTGTGATGGACGGACAGACGGAGGGATGGACATGACAAACACTATATGCCCTTGCTATGTTCATGGCAAGGCATAAAAAGATCAGTACTGATAAATAACACACGGTGGCAGTTCATCAAAAATGGACTGTATATACTATGTATTAATTATAAACTAAATAACAACAACTACCCACCACTCTGTTCTATGAACTTTCCCTTTCCCTTCCAAGTTTCCTCTAGCTTTTTCACAAACTTCTCAAAGACCTGGATGCAGTCTTTCAATGATGTTCGGTTAAAATCTAGTGAGATAGGAAAATACTTTTAATTAACTCAGTATTGACTCTAATGCTAAGACAAGAGGCCCATGGGTCTCAACATTCACCTGAATAACACAAGGGCAGGGGTCGAAATTAACGGGAAATACTCGCTAAATGCGAATTAAAAACAGAAATTGCGAGTTAAAAGTGACCTGTGGTCGCCAACTTTTGCGAGTGAAAAAAACCGAACTTTTTCGGATTTTTTTCGGTTTATTCCAGGGATGTGCAATTAGCATTGCCTCATGCCCGTGGCTACCATTTTTGGAGGTCGGGCTAGTGATTTTATGCACAGAGGTAGCCCCTCGAGCTAGTAGAAATTAAAATTACCAATGTAATACATGAACAGTACTACAGGTATTTTTATTCACTTTTTTGCTATTAAATTCCCAAACAATGAAAAATTTCCAGGAAGCATTCTCTTATAGTTCGTAAACCTCCATTATCTCATCCATTTTGCAGTACTACCTGACTTATTTACTTCTTAAAACGATCGTTTTTTCCTAATCCGAATTTCCTCCATTTCCTTGTTTACAGTAAATACATGTAGATATTTATGATCACATAGTCAACTAGAGGAAAAGTGTTATATGTGATTTTCATAAAAATATATTTCCAGTGTATTTAATGGTTTCAGATTTTCGCTTCAATTTAAACGAGATAGTCCAATGACCAGAAAAAAGGAAGATTATTTTTAAATTCATTTTTTTAATCATAGTTATTGATTTATATACGATTAAATTTTTCTACAGAGAATTAAACTTTAATTTTAAAAAGAATGACCTTAAGACCCTGACTTTTTCAACGATAAACTGATAAACTACTGTTTTATTTTCTTTCATTGTTAGTTGCTACTTCTTCCCCCTATGTTTGAGCTAGTAACTTTTTACTTGGGGCTAGTAATTTTATTGCTGCCACTACTGCACTAGTCTGTGGGCTAGTGCTTGAATTTTTTAATTGCACACCCCTGTATCCATTCAGATTTCATTTGTATAAAACAACCTAAATTAATTAAGGAGCAAATAAGTTTTCTATGAAATTATTCAAATAATTCCTATGTTAATTACTATGTGAAGAAAAAATGCTAGTGAAAGTTCAATATTGCTAGTAAAGCAAATTTCCACTAGCTAAAATTTGCTAGTGGTCAAAAAAGTTAATTTCAATCCCTGCAAGGCAATGTCAAACTTGAGAGCCTCATTTACAACACAATGATGTGGACAATAAGAATGTACTCTACTACAGGTGACTCTTGATCTCTCGAAGTCCAAGGGACCGCAAGAAAAGTTCGAGAGATCGAGGGGTTCGAGAGATTGAAAGTGAATAAAATCCGGAATTTTCAGTTCCGATCATCATTGTTCTACTATTATTGATACCGGAAGTATATGTTGATAATGTCATTGCACGTTTTCATTCATATTTTACAGGTAATTCACTTGATTTCAACAACACTGATCGTATTTTGAATAAATAAAACGATCTCTTTAAGTTTCAGTATTTATTTGTTCTCATTTCATGATTTCATTAAACCTGAATAGCAATCGTCGGTATGGCTACCCCCCGGGCTTGATCGGTTCCTTTACCAGATTTCTCGTATTAAATCGGTATTTAATTCTTGAGATAGGTTTTTTGTGCAATGTTTGTCATACTGGGATTATGTACACTCTAATAAAACTTCATAATCTATGGAAAATTATTGACGCGCCTCTTAAATTATTTTCTAAAAATTTTCGTCTCGCTGTCAAGTCAAAATAAGTTGTGAAGCAATTCGTTTATGATTTACCAATTATAACCGATTAATTATTTATATCAACACTCGGATGCTCACAGGTATAGTGTCATCTATGTAAACACCCAATTAACACCTCCATGCCAGCCTCAGGCGTTCACTGTTATCCAGGTAAGTCCAAGCTGCATTGATTTTACGCTTGATTGGCGTGTACACACGCGCAATCAAAACTTCGAGAGATAGAGAGTAAAAAACAATGAAATATGTGTGACGGGACCCAGGTCTTGTTTCGAGAGATAGAGAACTTCGAGAGATTGGAAGTTCGAGAGATTGGAAGTAAAAAACGGGACCGGAGGTTCACTTCGAGAGATCGAGAACTTCGAGAGATCGGAGTTCGAGCCATCGAGAGTCACCTGTACTTTGACAATACCCTTATTCTTCTTAGGGAGATATTAAATACAGAATTAATCTTTGATCCCCCTTTCCATTTTTAACTTAACAGTTAATAATTAATAATTCCTCCATAAAAACCTCAATTGTAGACCTACTTATTTTTGAATACTGCACAAAGCTCTGTAAAACTAGTCAGGTTACCTTTCGTCCTCTTGCTCGAGTCTTCCTTCTCAGTTGAATTTAGTTCTTCCAAAATATCACTGAAAGACATAGTACATAAACAATGAATAACGATCAAGTATTGTATGATAAAAAATAACACTAAAAGTCAATATCCATTCTACAAAATTTATCCTTTTGTATTCAAGCCAGTAAAATGCCGATATTGAAAGACCTTGATTTTCATTACACTAGAAAATTTTCTGTTAGTCTCTGCATTGATCAATACTTAAAATGTTAAAATTTCAAACTTAAGGATAAAGTGTGTCTACCAAACTTGAAATTATACCCCAAAGAACCAATATTTCCCCCTCTAACCACAAAACACATGAAATCAAGTGATTTTACTGTAACTTTGCCTGGCTTTTTTGCTCAACTCCCCTCCGAAATCCTTGGCATATTATGCCAATACAACTGTGGTCCGTATTTCACTCATTTGATGGTAGACCCTTAGAACTAATAAATGCATTTATTTCTCATCACATTTAAAAAAAACATCCAAGCAAACTACCTCAGAAATAAATGATGCAGTTAGAAAAAAGTTGTATACATTTATACTAAGACAAAATGATAACGACTGACCTAGAAAAAACTTTACTATCTTGTATTAAATTTACCTTTCAGAAAGATATGGCTTCTGACAGGTAAAGACCAATGAACAGAAATTTACTATACCTTATCAAAGGGACACTCATGGGGTCAAAGTCATCAACTTTCTTGGGATCAAATGGAACACACACTCTACCTTAAAATACAAGGAATTTCAGTATTCACATTGGTGTAACATTTATGTTTGAGATTGACACTACTAAGAAATGTAACTTGTAAATTTATTTAAATGACCAAAAAATATGCATGACACACAGTTCATGTACTGTAGATCACTAAATTTTCGCAACACTTTATTTTCACGAGATAGTCATTAACTATTAGTGAAACAAAATTTTCACGAATTGTGCTTATTGCTCTATATAATCTTATGAAATACTAATAAACGCGAGAATGAAATTTTCGCGAGGACAGTCTCACGTAATTACACGAAAATAAAGTTCTCGCGAATAAAAAGTGATTTACAGTATTTTACTGCAATGGCTGCGACCAATTATCTTCATATTAACAAAGACTATATTTATATCTGTATAAAATATTTGTATAAATGGATGAAAGTACATATTAAAATATTGCATTATTGATTCATATGTTACAGATAGAAGAAACTTACTTCCTAAGAAATCTGTTATACAGATGGCTTTAAAAATTCTGATCTAACTGGTTTAGAATTAATTAAGTGATTAACAGAAATAAGTTTTCATAAGCTATAAAGGAGAAAACATTCACTGAATGTTGAATGTAAATTGTACCATATTTTTTGGTTGGACAGGTAATTTAGGATACTAACCTGTCCAAAGACAAATTTCTATTTGTCTACTTCTGCACCATGTTGGATGATTTTTTTATTATTATTATTAATTCAGGTTTTTCATACAATATAAACAATTGTGTATATTTCTAGAGATTTTCAAATTTTGGCTTTTATGGGGCAAAAATATGTTTTTATCATGCATAGTTCTTTCAATTGTACAGTTGTTCAATTTTTACAAGAATTAAATAGGACAATTATCTTCAATTTAATTGAGCAAAAACAATACACATTTTGGTGTTCCTAATTACTGAAAATGTAAGTAGTTTTTATGTGTATACTTGTGCTATGACAAGGTTTTAATAAAAATATCATAAATTCTTTGAAACTGAGCAACATGCAAATTGAGGAAAAGTGATGTCAAGGTCATAGGAAATGTATCGTTTTATATATTAAAAAAAATCTCTCACTGTTTCAAAGAAACTAAGCTAAAAGCAAAAGGTAAAATAGATGATGCTGTTGAATAGCTCCTACCAGTATGTATATATTGAACAATTTCTTTGGAACTGAGCTAAATCCAAAGTGTGATGGACAGATGGAAGAACAGAAGGATGGAAAGAAGGATGATGAACATAATAAACACTACATCATTTTGTTGATTGTGGGCAACACTTGAAAGTCTACACTGTCATTGAAAAGTTCCTATCAGCAGGTAGAGCAACTCTTTACCTGTCTTGGGGTGAACACAGAAAGGACTCTTCAATAAATGGTTGACTCCTTTGCTGACATTAATGTCCAGTCGAGGGTAGCAGTACTGTAGCATTATCTCCTCCAGTACATATTTAGATCCTTTAAACTTATTCTGAAAATGGAAGAAATTTACTTTGTCATATACTTCCTAGAAACTCAGTACCTGAACACAACAGGATCACTGTGGTTTGAACATTATTTGTTGAACACCAATTTCTGTGGATTTTGTTGTTGAGTCGATCCCTGAAATCTAATGTTCATTGAATTTTGGTTCTCTACTACAATTTATACTAAAGAAACCTACTATGGTTAAGTATATACAGACCCCACCCCACCGTTGATTCACTTTTAGTGTATTTTATAATGAAAATAAACTAAATAAACAAGTAAGATCTGACATTTTGTGAATAAATATTTGTGACCAAGATAAACTAAAAATATGTCCATAGGACATGAATGTCCTGCCCAGGGGTTCATTAGATATGAAACATGAAAATTTGTATTAGAGATGAAGTTTGATGAAACTATCTGGAATAGTTTCTTTACAACTTTTATACACAATAAATAGTAAGGTCAAAAGTCATTGGGAAGGTCAAGGTAAAATAATTTGGACACAGTTGGTAATTCTCATCAAATAATCTATCAGTACACAAACTTAAATAAAAATATATACAATAGTTTCTCTGAAACTGAGATAAACACAAATTTGAGAAAAGTTAGGCCAAGGTCAAAGGAAAGGTCAAGAACAAAAATGTTGAAGCCATTAAACAGCTTTCATCAATATGTATAAGCATATAAAGTTTAATAAAAATATCTTGAATACTTTCTTTGAAATTTAGCTAAACACAAATTGGAAGTCAAGGTCAAAGAGAAGGTCAAGGTCAAAAATGTTGATGCCACTGAATAGCTCTCATTAATATGCATAAGCATATTAAGTTTAAAAAAAAAAATCTGAGTAGTTTCTTTGAAATTTAGCAAGGTCAAAAAAAAGGTAAAGGTGAAAAAATATTGATGCAGTTGAATAGCTCTCAACAATATGTATCAGCTGATGAAGGTTGATTAAAATATCTTGTTTCTTTGAAACTGAGCTTCACACTAAAGTGTGACAGAAGGATGGAAGGACAAAAGGACATATAGTACCACCTTAAGCCAAGTTGCCTAGTAACCTTGACAATTATATTACAAAAGAGGTCCATTTCCGGTTACTAATCCAATGGACTTACCTGATACTCATTTTTTACATATTTTTTCATAACATCCCACGCTGTTTTGGAAACTGCACCATCAAATTCCTTTTCAAAATTTTCTTCCAATGGAGATCTTAATTGTATAAAATTAAGGTTAAATTTGACTGGTACATAAAACAAAAACATATGTTATTGACAAACAGTCTAACCAGAGACCAGATTGAGTTGTTTTTGTTTTGAATATTATCATTCATTTCATCAGAAATGTATAAAACATGTATAGAAATATCAGGGGCAACCCGTATGAAGACAAGGGAATATATATGTAAAATTGTTCAATCTTTAGTTAATCAATGGAAGACAAAGGCACAAAATGACCAGACAGTTCAAAAACTTTTGTCCACACTTAATGGGTACCACTTGAATTCTACAAAAAAATATAATAAAATATGAATCTTCTCGCTTGTTAATTGTATTGTTGTGTGCACCTATTGATACACAGCTGTAATTTTCTTACTTTTGTTTCCAAAGTTGAATTTTTTTTTTAAAACTGAATTTTAACTACCCCAGTAGATATGCCCATAGAACATACTTGGAAAGAAATGTGCCTTGCTTCTTCTATCAGAGCTAGTATTAAATATTATGAAAGAATACTTTTCAATTTTTTTTTTTGAGAAATAGAACTGATACTTTTATTACATTTGTTGTTTTTTGTAGTATGGTATGTGATATAGTGATTCATCCTATCTAACTAGCAGCTAAATGAAGCCTTACTGCTTCATGTTTCTTCTCCAATTTGCTAACTTTATTTATACTATATTTATAATACATGATGTCTAAATTAGGTATGGTTGAAATCATAATTCAGTTGAATACTATGCTGGCAGATCTTGTCAGATGTTTATCTCCGTATCTTGTTATTACAGCATGCTAAAGCCACTGACATCTACGTGTCATCATAATATCTGACAAGTGGACTTAATTTTCGGACAAGTAAATATATTTTTCTGACAGATCAACATCAATTTCTGACAAGTCGACATCATTTTCTCACAAGTCGGCTTGCCAGATGTTGACTTGTCAGATGATGATGACTTGTAGAATATTATGTCGACTTGTCAGATAATGATGTTAACTTGTCAGATGAGATTTAGACTTGTCAGATGTTTATGTTCACTTGTCAGATACTTAATGTTGACTAGTCAGAAAAATATGTTGTCAGCTGATGGCCTATACTGGGCATGGACACATATTCACGGTGAATTTTTCAACACCTAAAATAAGTGTCAAGTTAACAAAAAAGATCTGACAAGTTGACATAATTATCTGACAAGACAACAAAAAGATCTGACAAGCCGACATAATTATCTGACAAGTGGGGGCAGAAATATGCCACCATAGAATTCTTCTCACCATTTTGTATCAGTGTATGAAGATTGATGAAAATATCTTGAACAGTTTTTTGAAACGAAGATAAATGCAAATTGAGGAATAAAAGGCTCAGGGTCAAAGCGAAGTTCAACATTTGGGCTGAACGATATGCCCCTTCACTATACGATACTTATTGCGATACTTGTGTCACAATTCAATTTTTTTTGATACGATACTTAAAGTCTGCTTTATCATTATCACTTAAAATTCTTTTTTCAACCTTGGTGTAGAGTTCCGGCATCACCTTCTGTGCTATATGTGTTCTACTTGGTATCTCATACCTGGGTTCTAAAAACTTAATCAAATGTTCTATGGTAGAAAACGGCACATATCACATACTAGATAACTTGCAATAGCCATGGTGATGTTTTGGCTTTTTTGTGAGTTTGATGAGAGTTTACTTTTTGCACTTTGATGTCCACAAAAGATTTTTAGACAGGCAAGTTGTAAATTACTACAATAATATTTTTCTATCAAATAAAAAGGATATTTTCTTCTGTTATTAATGATAAGACTTTCTTCCGTCTTTCATCATCACCCAAAAAATCCTGCTTCTTCACAGCATAATCCTCAAATCTGGCCTTGACAATTTCTAAGGAATGGCTGCAAACAAAAACAGGTAAGTTATTCAGCAAGTGTTCACATTGTGTACCTACAGCCACTTAATTCATTATGACTAATCAGACATGGAGAGGTTTTACCTGATAAATGGGTGAAGAGTTGGAGTATCCAGATTGACTTTTTTATTCTGATGTTCACCACCCTATAATTAGAGTACATGTACTGACATGTTATTATTTCTTAAGTCTTGATTTTTAAAAAACATAGGTAATCAGAGATTACAGAGCTCACCTCAATGAATGTTGTCTTTAAGTAAGGCAAAGTCCCACAGTAAACTAATAATCTAGGAGTGTGCATCCCTAGATGCAACATTTATGCAATTTTGGTCTGATAGGGCCTGCAGTTACTTGGGAATAGACTTATTTGAAAACTTAAAACTAGTCACTCATCCAGAAAATGTAAGTCAAATCCAGCATCCGAAGCAAGTTTTGAGATTGTTTGTCCCTTGATGCATCATCCATGCAAGTTTGGTTCAGATAGGCCTTATAGTTACTTGGAAATGAGATCTCCTCCAAAAACTTTAACCTGGTTACTTATCCGGAAAATGTAGGTCAGATCCAGCATCCAAAGCAAGTCCAGTAGTGTGAATCCTTAGATGTATCATCCATGCAAGTTTGGTCAATATAGGGTTTATAGTTACTTGGAAATGACATCTTCTCCAAAAACTTTAACCTGCTCCAAAAACATTAACCTGGTCATTCTTTAGCTGAAATTGCGGCATCTGAAACCTTGACTGGTACAATGAAACACACTAGAAGCATCCTCCATGCATCTCTGACTAAAATAGGCCACAGAAGAACTTGAAAAGAAAACTGCTCCAAAAACCTTAACCTGGGACGCCGACGCCAAGGGTATTACATAAGCTCCCCCAACTTCGTTGAGGTGAGCTAAAAAAATGACTACAAAGTTTTACACTCTGTTAGTCTGCCCTTTAAATCAAAATGAATGATTCTATAAAACAAGAGGCCCACAGGCCACATCGCTCACCTGAGCACATTGGCTAGGAAAAAGCAGTTCAGTATTGAAAAGTTTAGGATAGGGAGGGGGGGGGGGGGGGGGGACTTAAATTTTAAACTACCTGAGGGTGTTTCCATATCAATACAAGAGGCCCATGGGCCACATCGCTCACCTGAGTAACTTTGGCCATGCTGTTCATTACCAGACTTCCCCCCTTGTAATACCTATTGTGGCCCTGCCCTACCCCCGGGGGTCATGATTTGAGCAATTTAGAATCTACACTATCCCAGGATGCTTCCACATAAGTTTCAGCTTTTCTGGCTCAGTGGTTCTTGAGAAGAAGATTTTTAAAGATTTTTCCTATATATTTCAATGTTTCCCTATTGTGGCCCCGCCCTACCCCCGGGGTCATGATTTGAACAATTTACAATCTACACTACCCCAGGATGCTTCCACATAAGTTTCAGCTTTTCTGGCTCAGTGGTTCTTGAGAAGAAGATTTTTAAAGATTTTTCCTATATATTTCAATGTAAAACTTGTATTCCCTATTGTGGCCCTGCCCTACCCAGAGG